CCCACTCAAGATTGGCATTAAACCTTGCACTGACGGTGTCCATATAATATTTATAATACTTCCTGTTGAGCTGTTCACCTCTAATCGTTGCAAATTCTTATTTTCAAACCAGTTTATTTTATTTGTACTTTGAAACGTCAAGTTACCCTAAACTAGCCGCTAAATTGTTAGTTTCGTAAACTGCAATATTGACCAGGGTTCGTCGATCATTTCAATAGTTTGTTTCTTTTGAGCGTATTTCAAGCCATTGACAATCTCTTTGCCAACTACGTGGGGTATTAGGCTCCATCTTTGAATCAGGTTTGCACCTGATTTTGAAGAACATCTCACGTTTAGATCTTGGCTGAACTAGGCCAGAATTCATGATAAATCATTGCTGCGGGAGCAAGGAGATCAATGTTTTCCAGTTTAGCCTCGGAAATATATGTTTCGGAGACAAATTCTACAAACCAGTAAAAGGTAGAAAATAATTTGATTTTGCTTCCGAATTATATGTTTGCTTGTTTAATTATCATTTTAGCAATGTTGATTAGCCTCCATTGCCACTCATTAAAAATGAGATCAATATCAGGGCTCGATAGAAAAATATAAGAATGAAAAAACCAAATGGACACAAAAAGTAAATGAGTTAAAATGACACTAAAATTCCCCACGAGCTTCGGAATAAGGCAGATCAGAAATTTCATCCCCAAGAATATAACAATCGTTGTGGTTGAGTTATCTCCTTTACGAGATTTGTCCGGTTTCTTAAAAATTTATTTTAACGAAAGAAAAAAGAATATTTCCCGGCATCTTTTAATCTCAGGACCATGTTTCTTGACCGATTGTGTTAGATCGTCCTGTTAATTTGAGCAGGCGTCATATAAATTGACCCCTCCTTTGTTAGACGGTAAAAAGCATTTGTTGTAATTTTCTACTTTAACGATCAAATGCTTTAAGAAGTGGTACAGTTACTTGCCAACGGCCTTAATTAATGCGTCGACCTGATTAAAAACATTGTTGGCAAAATGTCGGAAGCTCTGTTCTACTGTGACTGGAACAACCGCACCGCGCTTTGAGCTCGTTGACCCTCCTCATTGCTACCCAAAACAGTTTGAAGAAATTCCGGTCATCTAAAAAAAGAGAATAATGTTTGGAAATATCTGTATCATCTAACGGCGGAGTTTTTCTTGTGTAGTGGCTGATGAGTATATTTTCCCCGATTGACAGTCACCCCAAAGCGAAGGCACATAGCACCTTTAATTAACTTCTATTCTCCTACATGTGAAAACATAAACATACAATCGCTGTAATTGCCAACATGTTTGCCTAAGGAATTAATTTCCTAAAACATTCACAATGTTGCACGTTTGCCGAGGGACTTATCTATTAACCTGACGTAATTACGGCCTTCGGCAAGACAAAGCCCAGCCAACTTAATTCTCTCGTCATTAAGCTCTATTTTGTCATGATGAATTGGTTTAGAAATGTGAAAGAGAACGGTTAATGAGGGCTTCCGAGGCAAACAAAGCCTATTCACAGTTTCATTTACCGGGGAAAGATTATTTTTTGCTGTCGCTGATGAGTGGATTTGCGAAAGCGGAGTCCTATCTTTAAATCTGTTGCCATTAATCTTACTTACCCCATTTATAATTTTCAACCCTTTTTATGATTTTCCACACTAGTTTTGTCCTTATTTCAACGGTTTGTTCCAAATTTTTACATTCAAAGGAGATTCATTTGATAAACACCAAGGTTATTGATTAAAGAGAAAATGGAGTTTAAGCCAATAGGTTTTGGCATAATTACTTCATCAAGGCTCTAAGAGCTGAAAGCCTGGTTAATTATCAGCGAGCTCGCTTGCAATCAAACATTATTGTTATTTGGCTTTCGAGGGAGAACATTTGCTTTGGGCCCTAAAAAAAGGCTATCACTTTTTTGTCCTTTTATCATCGCAGACGCCAGTGTTGGCCACTAGAAGCAGTTTCCGTCACTGTTTTGAAGCTAATTAAGCTGTATTCATTAGGACGGGAAGCTTTCATTCTACTGACAACCGAATTTACCTCCATTGGTGACTTCGAAGAACACTCAATCCGAATAACAACCACAGAAATGATGAGAAAGCGCACTTTTGAAAACTCCGACGTTTCTCGGCTATCTCCCTCGCTTTATCCGCTAGACGATCTACGAAAAACCGAATTACTCATTCTTCAACCAGCTTGCAAACTTCAAGATCTACAGATACAAGACACGATTGAAGAAGTCCTCAGAACGAACTTGCAAGGTGTTTGTTACACAGCATGGGATAGCGACGCACGATGTGATGCTTTGAGTCAGATTATTAAGCAAAAACTTCGAACCATTCAACACCAATTTGCCTATTTTAACGTGGTTGTTTTGATTGGTCAGGCAAACGATACCGGGATAGAAAAAGCTTCACATAAGGTATGGAAACCTGAATATGACAGTTTTGCATCTGCGTGGTTCAGAAATGAATCACTGTTTGCAGTTGGAACAGTGTTTGCTACTTATGCCACACGAAACTTTTAATCTCTCGGAGCCTACATCGAAGACAGAGCTAGGAACTAGAATTTATGATATGTGATCGTTGCTGATTCGGTTCGATGGTTCGAGTTTTTGAGTCGCGCACACTACTGATAGACGGAAACATCTTAATAACCAATAATGTGTATAATAGTGTACAAGTTGAAGTGACTTCCAAAACCCACTGACGTGTTCATTTTTAATGAAAACAGAGAAATTTAGAAATAAATTATCGCTTTTTTTACCTAACTTCTTCAATGCAAAATTTTCTTGTACATGAACACAGTCAAGCATATCAGCATATCATTTCCTTTTGTCGGAAATCTAAAAGTTAACAAGAAAGAAATGTAAATTTATCCCTTAACAAGCAAGAGTCAGTTGACGTCTTCATTCTGGTCGCTTTACGCTCTCTTGTATATAGCAAGTTAAAATATGTCTAGAATTAAGTAAAATGAAATAAAAAGAAAACAGAATAAATCTTTCAAGTCATTAAATTCAAGGAAAGTTTTAAAATATGTTAGATAGTTTTTCTTGTTTACAGAGAATTTTTAAAGGAAAATGCAAATTACTGGTGAGTGGGTAAATCACCAGTCAGTGACGTGAACAGAAAGGAGTGTTGATTAAGGAACAGAAGGAACAGGAAATGAATACGATGAAGCAGGTTCTGTTAATGTACAATAATCGTAAATAAAATACAGTATTTGAAAAGAACCTTCCATTTAGTAAACCACAAAATGTCTCAAGTTTTCTGATTAGTTTAAATTTCTTTTTATCAGGTTGCATATCAGAACCAGATTTAAATTCATTGCCAGATTTTTGAACTGCCCTCTACTGTCCCACTCTCGTAATTTTGTTCGGTTGAATGTCCTGATTGAATGTCAAATCCACAGTTGACCATGGAGTGGAGGGGGGGGGGAGTTGTCGCGATAATGGACCTTGATGTAACAAACTTTGCACAGAAAAGATCTCTGGAGTTTCATTTTAAGTTCTTTTTTGTCATCACAATACGCTCAGGGACTCGATGTTTGGCGAAAAGTTTATTGAAAATCTCAATGTGTATCAAACAAATACTCACAGCCTGTTTTCCGCTAAAGCATACTTTCGAATAAGCAAGAAGTTTGTGGCTTGCTGACGGAATCCTTAGAGGTCATTACAGACCGATCCACGAAGGAGTTGATCTTTCCTCAGGCCATCTGTCTCAATGATATACTGTTTCCACCGATGTTGTACCAATAGGAAGAGAAAAAGGTGGAGACTAGAAAGGAAATTAGGGTTTCGGAGGCTAAAGGTGTTTTTTTCAGCGTTATAAAGTAACATTTAGATACTACGTGTGCTCTCATCAAATGGCAGGTGTGTTGGAAAAAACACAGTGTTTGCAGTGTCACCTAAACACTCGAGGGCTGGGAGAACTGAGTCCTCTATCGCGTTCGTAGCCTATACAACTTGTCAGGAATTCTTGGCCAAAGTAACTGCAGAATATGCAGTTTTTCGATGAGTTTTTCTACCGGACAGAGGCGAGCGCCAAGCCTCCATTCGCATGAAAAACGCAAAAAAAAAATACTCCTTTTCTGCAGGCTGTGGCCCAAAGTCTTACGACATGTTTTAGAGAGGTGTGAAGGAAGGCTCACCAATATCTACTGACGTACAGGCATGAATTGGTTTTTTAAGGATTTATGTTAACTACTGCTTAAGTAGTGTTCATTACTGCGAAGATCACTCACTTAATATAAACTGTCGTGCATTTGTTCTGCGTTTTTGCAGATTAACCAGGGGTAGAAATTGTTCCTCAGTGTTGCACTAGGTAAAAGAGTCATGGAGGTTTGAGAGCACGATGACGTTTTTTTAGAGATCACCATACACCGATGAATGTAGGTAACGTTATAGGGTATGATAGGAATTATTGTCTTTAGATAGAAATAGTAGAGATGGTAAGTTTTGAGCTCGGTGAAGAATTAAGAAAGATGTTTTTTCGTCTTGTCACGAGCGTGGGACAAAGAAAAAATTCTGAGTCCACATGAGGAATCGAACCTCAGACCTTCGGATGACCTTTGAATGTTGTCTTGTTTTTAAACAGCAACATTTCTGTTTATCTCAGATCCCAATTCAAGTGTAGTTCTGCAAAAAACGACCTATTACGCGTTATTCACAAGTGTTCGGTGTCTTTCATGTATGGAACACATCAATCAATTCTAATCTCTATTCTGTTGGTAAATAACACCAGTGCACATAACAACTTGTTTGTTGTTTTGTGTTTAGCTTACATTCAGGCTTTTTAAAACATATGCGTCGCACATTCAACTTCTTTTCTATACAGCTCTCTTGGGATCTAATTGAAGCCACTTAAATTCCCAAAGAATCTTTTTCTTAAGAATAGTTTACAGAGTACAAATCCAACAAACAGGTAGTTGATATTCGAACATCAAACTTGGCCCAGAATACACAATGAACTGGTTGATCCACCCTTCATTTCTGTCATGATGGAGAATGTAAAAAAGAACTCTTTGACAACGAAGAATCCTCGGAAAAAGGCCACTTTCTTTTTGACTTCGGACGAAAGAACATTCACGGAACCTAGCAACGAACTGAAGGAAACCAGTGAACAAGATAGAGCTAAGGGTAAATTTGCTTCAGTAGCGCGCACTGTTTTACTGGCAAACCGAGCTTTCCCACAGACACGAAAACCTACTCGAGTCAATTCTGTCTTGGTTCACAATCAGTCAGAAACGCAATCGGTAAAATTTGCAACCACTGCTCCAGCTCCAGCTAATTCTGTTGACGACACCATGTCGGCCTTTTACGGAGAGAGATTATTGAGGGAAAACACATACAAAATGGAACCTGATGACTTGTTCTTGAGTGGAAAGGCTCGTGTTATCATTCACAATGTGTTGGAAGAACATTTAAAAAGTAAGATGTACACTGCTGATGACAGCAAGAGATGGTCAGTGGAGATTAGCGAGGAAATTAAAAGGAAGATAAAAGCCGAGGAGCCTTTGGAGAGATATAAGTTTGTATGTGTGGTATGGATTGGTCAGCAGTTAGGCCAAGGTATTCATATCACCAGTAGATGCTTGTGGAATGCCCATTTTGATAACTTTGCCCGAGACACTTTTAGAAATGATCATCTTTTCGCGGAAGCTTCAGTATTCGCTGTTTTTGTGGAATGAGTTCATCTTGAACTGGATCAGTAGCGTTTAACCTTAAATGCCAATTACCTGAAAACTTCATCATTCCTTGTGAATGAGCTTAAAAATGATTGGTGTTTATTTTCGTTTTTTCAGTTAAAAAGCTATCATCAGTGCGCTAAATCGTCTCCTTGTCTTGTCTAAAGATTCAAGTTAATGCCTTCCAATCTATGGCAAACTTTGCTATTTTAGATGCGATTTTAGAAGTTGTGTTTGGCTCATTTTGTTTGCCGGGCACAAACTTCTTCAGATCTGTTTCACAAGTACGGGGAATGGTTCCCTGAAATTAGCCAATTAGGGCCTGCGTTATATTAGATTGTTTTATCATGATAAAATGTAGAAATTGAAATGAAATTCAGCGGTAAATTTGTCCCAGAGAGCTAAACGGAACAACCTATCGGGTACTTATTATGTCAGCTACATGAAGTCGATCGAGTTACGATTCGACAACATCATCTTGTGCTAACACGTGGGGTTTAAATTAATTGGAATAATCTACTAAATTCAATCACAAATTCTTAATGATTCTTTTCATTTTTGAGTAGCTTTGCTGTTTTTTTTAACCCAAAAGGGATGTCTTGAACTAGTGCTTTGGTCGCTTTGTTTGCGTGCTGTTTTAAAACAATTCACCATTTTTCACATACATAATAAATGGAATCCAGCCCTATGATAATTTAAAGGGAGAAAAGAGAGGATGTCAAAGCCAACAATAGAATTGAAACACGATTAAAAAAAATAATGAAATGAAAAAATTTTAAAAAAGTAAATAAATAATTTGAGAGCGAGCCAAAGCTGTGTTTAAGAGTGAAATGACATAAATGGTAGAATTTTAAACTACGTTTACCAAGAAAATACTCATAACTATTTAAATAAAATGTGTAGGAGACTCAAACATGACGCTTTTATTTACTATACATGATATGAAAATCTGTATGCGTGAACTAGCTTTTCAGAGACAATCTATTAACAGCTAACTATGGTGTCAGTGAGTAAACTTGCGCGTTTATTTTGCAAGCCTCTCGTCTGTCCGACGAAGTTGATACTATTCATACATTTCAATTCGTCAGCCTGCTAAGAACTATTTCTGATCGCGTGACGGATTAAACCAGCTGATAACAAACTTCTTTTTCTTCGTCCACAACAGGAAAGCTAAAATCTCGAGGAGGTATTTTAAGTCATTGTTTCAATGGCATAATAACTGTTTGTAAGTTATTGTTGTTTGAATATTCGTTATTGTGTTTCCAAGTAAATTGTATTCAAATCGACTCGCTTGCAAATTTGCATTCAGAACACGAATTTCGAATCTCGCCCTCTATCGATGCTTTTATAATAAGATACCTGCCAGACTCAGATAGAAAAGTTGTTTTCAGAAGTATGTTTAGACGAGAGCGATGAGGAATAACAATGAAATATTTTTAGTTTGCACCCGGGCGCTTCCAAACTTCAGTATAATAAGTTACGAGTTACTCACAGTACACACCGAAAACCGTAGCAACTGCAAATAGGTCGCCATTCCTAAAGTATCCCTCAGCGACATTGTCAAATTTCTGATCCCAAAGACATCGACTGCCGATTCGCATTCCTTGGTTATGAACCTGTCCCATGTGTACAATACAAATAAACTTGTACCGTGAAAATCCTAGGATCTTGACTCGTTGTTTTATTGTATCAGACAGTTTTTTGGTCATTTCCTTACAAAATACTGCCTCATAGGTTTGGCCGTGAAGATTTTGATCTAACACGTCTTCGATAACTTCTTTGACTTTTGGCTCGGAGAAACGGCTAACCGGTTCTAGTCGGTAACTGTTTTTTGGCGTTTGACTTGGGTGTGTGTAACCATAACGTGACGATACACTGGGAGAACGCGAAGACGGTGGGGATCTGCCACTTGGAACGTTTAGTCTCGTTGTCGGCTCATCACGGCGGAAATTTCTTGGGAAATCCCAGTGAATGACAGCTGTCCTTCCCGCGTTTTCCCTTCGTGTTCTATCAGCTACTAAAAACTGGGCTCGCTTTTTAATTTTTACGGCGAGTTTCCTGGCCCTTATCATTCCTATCATTGATGGCCCTCCCCCAAGTGAGGAGTTTCTTGAATGTGCCGCAACTTCACCACTCATGTCCGCTTCTTTAAACGACAGACGAACATGCAACTTTCGACGTGTTAATAACAACTTCCCGGAGAAAACACTGCTAATAGCCACGTAAACCAAACATGAATGTTTCTGGGAGACGCAACGTTGTTATAGCGATGTCTAGTGATATTAAATTTACATGGGGTTTAATAATGAGACGAGTAGCTTGCGGCGAATCTGTGAACAAAAACTACGTAAATACATGCTAATAGGTCAACAGATGTAATTGCAAATTGTCCACCGATTGCAACCTCGGGATTTTGCTTCTACCGATTAGTTTAGTCTAGACAAAGGGAGCACTGTAAGCTGTTTAAAACTTAGATTAGTTTCCTTTCGTTTTGCGGTGTGTTATGCAAATTCTTTCTCTGTTTTGGAACTCGTAGACAGGGCAATACCGGTCACAAAAGAGCTCCGGCTGAGCAGGTGGGTTTTTGTTTCAAAACAAGGCTGTCATTCGTCAGCCAATGAAAGAGGTATTGACATAAACTGAACCGAGCTTGTTACTGTATTACAATGAATTTAACATACACAAGAGCAGGCGTGCCTTCGTTCAACCAAATTAATTTAACGAACATCTAACGTACCGAGAACAAAATTGGCCTGGCTAGGAAGGAGAATACGAAAATGAATTTGGAGACGGAGTAACTGAGTCGTTTGAGGCGCACTAAGGGTCGAATCCCCTTCTTCCCATCAAGTTTACTTTTCTCTAGTTTAGAGTTTAACTCTTCTGCGTCATGACAGTAAACAACTCGTACACGTCTCACGAGTTCCAGTATTTCAATAATTCACGAGTTCCAGTTTTTCAATAATTCATGAGATGTTTCCTCTATTTATCTAGTTACTTGTAAATTTGAACCAGGCTTTTTTTGAAAAACTTTATTTCACCCGACAATAACTGAATCAAATGGTTACAAACTGACAAAATTCTCGCAATTTCCTTGTTATAAATAAAAACCTACATAAACCCTCCAACTAGTAATATCAACCTCCCCACCTATCAAGGCTACTGCAGTTTCAAGACTTAACGGCAATTTAATTTAAAATGATTAAGCTTCCAATAATTTTATAAGTCATAAATAAACAAATGGACAGAAGCAAAAGCACCGGCATTATGTAATCAATATTTTACAGCCGTAACAAAAGTAAAAATCATGTGATTTACCTTTTGTCAGTGCAAAATTCTTATTAAAGTGTGCTTAAGGTCAATAAAACCTTCGAAAGTGTCTGACTTCCCCACTGATTAAAAAATGGCAAGTAAAACAAGATACATATTGACTCAGACCAAACCCGAGTAAAATTAAAGTTCAAAACAAACCACTGAAAGCATTCATTGACAACCAATCCAATTTCAAAATAAGAAAGCCAGTTGTTAAAATAAGAAACGGCTTTAAAATAAAATGACAAAATATTATTTGAAACTAAAGTTGCATTTCATTACAATGCTTAAACCAACAAATGATAGATAAATAGTTTCTCCGAACATAAGAGTGTGCGTCCAAATCTTACATCAAACATAGAGGTTATAATTGTTTGCTTTAATTTCTTGGTCATGTAGTTACATACCACATTTATTCACGATCTCTTTAGCAGTTATTACAATTTCTGCTCAAAGCATTTGAAATTCCAAATTAAGTCTACCAGTTATTCCATCAACACAATTCAAATAAGGTTGAAAAGGCTGAAGTCAACTGTTTCTTTTCTTACAACAAATTGAATGCATTGTATCTGAATTTCTAATTGAAAACCCCTATATGAAGAGACCATCGATAGGGAAATAATTTATTAAAATGACAAGTTAAATTATTTTACAATTATTAATTAATAAATAAAAAGGGAGTTTCTCCTATAGTTGTGAAATTCACCTTAATAATAAATACACTTTTTCACAATCCATACCAATTAAAAACTGATGCAAATTCCATGTTCCATAGTCCCCCCTTTTCATTTCTCAATAATTGTAATATCATTCACAGACTGAAATCATAACTGTGTTCAAGTTAATCTGTTATTAAATGTGTTGATAAAACTGGTATTTAATTAATTTGCCTTAAATGATTCCAAGCAGCTTGAATCAGCTTGCCCTGGTAAGCTATCCATCCTGCTCTAGGCAAATAGATATTTTTGCCAAAGTATTGGAAAGAAAAGTTTATGTTAAAACTGTTCCTACATAGGCAAGGTGTAAAAGTACTAGTAACTCATAAATTCCTGTTTCACAATCAATTGGCAGATTCTCTTTTGTTAAACAGGCAGGAAAGACAGACAAAAAAACCTAGGTAGTGAATAAATAAAAAAGACAACAAAACTACATCCAAATAAACACTTCATTATGTAATAGACAAAAGAGAAACTGCTTGAATTTTATGAAAATGAAAAAATATCCCCATAAGCTTAATAGTAAAATAATGTAATGAGAGGGACTTTGACTGCACAGAAGTCCATTCATTATTTAGCAGTCTAAGTAGGAATTGATGATCTCAGTAAAATGACAATTTGATCAATAATTATAAATAAGTTGAACAGAGGAGCAAAAATTTAAACTTCTGAGAGAGGGAAGGTGGGAGTCTTTAAAAGCTAGTAATCACTGAAGGACAGTATATACTAACACTGAAATATACCATAGGAGGAAGTTATCCTATTATTGAGAAATACTCCTCTTTATGAACAGATATATTCTGAACAACACATTTCATGAAACCCTTTTGATGAGCATTTCATTCAAGAAGTTTTCCCCATTTGACTCATTTAAATCAAATAACCAACCTACAATCTGCATCTTGGGGGAAAGATGAAGATAGATGCCAGCTAAGGCCTTAACAAATTATGTGGCAGAGCAAAACAGATAAAATGATGGCCACAGCAATACTTTTGTCCAAAATGGCACAACTTAAATAAAGTCATATTACAACTAATGATCAGTCAACATGTTCAGTCAACAGCAGTGATTATTGATATTTTGACATTTTTCTTGGAGTCTCTCAGCCTTACCACCCAGCTTCAGCACAAAATGTGAAGTCCGCCATTCAATTTCACGGCCACAAGCTGCTTGAAGAAAAAATATGAGAAAGGAATACTCTCTAAAAAGCCAAGCCAGAAACAGCTTCCATATTGGTGGCAAGGAATTGTTTGGCTAAAGTGAAAAACAAAAGAATAGGACAAGTTGGTTAATTCTCAATTATTACTTTGAATTTGGCTTGGAAGGGTTCTTAATGATAAATCATCCAACAAAAGTCACAAATAGTACTGTTTCATCTATGTTGGGACACATTTTAACTGGGAGCTGAAATGACATGGTTTGCAAACAAACATTCAAAGGTTACATATTGTTTGTGAAATTTTCCCTAACCCAGCACTGAGAGCAGATATTCAAGAAGAAAATGATCTAGACCTGGTTATGAAAGGTTCTACTTTTCTAATGTTGGCCTAAGTTAGAAATTATCTCATTGCCCCTACTGTTTAAAACCAACAAAATAATTAAATTGAATCACTAAAAATTTGGCTAGTTTAGTACACTTAAGCATCAGCTGCCACTTTTTAGTGTTCTACTTCTTTGTATTTCAATCTTTTCAGAGTGGTAACTTCAGCTTACAGTTCCTTTTCAAAACAAGAAATTGCTACCTTATTGTCTCCAGCAGCACATATCATGAACTTCACGAGTGCTCTTTCAAACTTCAGCACAACAGTGGCAAATACTTAGCAACCAAACATGTTATACTTGCACCTTATTTAAAACAGGTTTTCTTCATGTGAACATGCTTAAATGAAAATGACGGCACAGGTAAATATCACTATGTAACGGCTGCCTATGAAATATCCAGAGGCCAATGTTAATTAATGAGTAAAAGCAGGTTTTACTCAGAAGGTAGAAACTCACCCCTTGAATATATCTAAGTAAGATGTAGTCCAACAAAAATGAGACAGCAAGATGTTCAACAAAAAATAGTATGAAGCTGATTTCCCACAAATGCCACACAGCCCAACATGACATCAAACCAATAATGGGACTCTCTGTAAAAGGTTCAAACACTGCAGGGAAAGGTTCCATTGTCAGACGCAGCCTGGTCCATCTGCAGTATATCAAATTAACTTGATATCAATAACTAGAGAATGTACTTCTCATGGAAACATTGTGGTTCACATTTAAAACTAGTTAAATATTTTTCATACCAGGTTGTTTTTTATTCATAAAATAAAAGTAAAACTAGATTAAAAAATTTAGAACCAAGAAAGTCTGAACCTTAACACATAAGCCACACCAAGCTAAGAGTAAATAAACAATTCCTGGGAATAAACTTTCCCAAAAACTTTCCAAATCTGTAGTAAATAAAAATGATGTGAAGTGTGTCACTTATTGATCCTTACAGCTGTTATAAGTTAGTATTACCTATAATAATACACAATTTATACATTTTTTGTAATTGTTATACAGTGGTTATAAATTCAGCCTCCTTTAGAAGAGAAAAACTGATACAGTCAGCAATTCTAACTCAGAACTAATTTGGTGCTATGTATCAAACTTAGTTGTTTGAAATAATTGTTTAAAAATAATAAATAAATATCTTGTTTAAGATAATCTTCCAACAGATCAAACTGGTTGAGGTCACAAACTTTCACCTTAAAGTCACTCTGAATTATTACACCTACAAAAAAATTAATGATTATGTAGCAAACCTGATCATTCGTTGCTGAAATCTGACAAGAGAGTATGTACTTGGATTCTGTATAGCTGGGTCAGAGCTCAGAACAACTTTCATACCTCTGCAGGGAATAATGTTGTAATAACTGAAAAACTAGAAAGCTTCACATTTAATTCACAACAAACTCAAGCTTGATCTTGAAGGAGTTGGTTCTTAGTCTGCTGCAATAAAATTTGTATGAAAATGCTTTTTGTAAACAACACTATAATACAAACAGGGGGTCTTGTCGCAAAAGTTTATTCAATAAGCTTGTTGATAGTCTCTCTCAAACCCAGCATTTGGAGATTAACTGATTATTGTCAGAGCCCTTTTTGATTGATTGTAATTGTAAAATGAAAACCAAAGCTATTGCAACAGCCAACCAGAAAGGTAAATACATTTAAGAGTCTATCAGAACTCAAAGTAAAAACATGTAAAAGCCAAAAGTGCAGCAGGGCAACCAAGTCATGATTGGTCTTAGTTTTGCATCCAATTGATTCAGAGAGAGGTGTCAGTTTTCTTGACCAATCACCGAGTGAAGTCAAGCAAAAACAACACAACACTGGATAACTTTTGCCATTCAATTGAAAATTGCTCTTACTAGTGGGAGAACTTCAATGACTAGATGCACTGACTCTAATTCTTTAATTCTTTTGAGAACCTTACAGCTTGAAAGCTCTCCATGAAAACCAAGATACTGAATGTATGAAAATTCTTGCTGCTTCAGGAAAATGCCCTTTGAGAAAAGATTATTTGCTGCCAAAAGCATTTTAAATGACTAGGTCATTTAGCTTCCTCTATATAAATTCTTTATATGCCAGTAATTCAGTCTCCTCCTAAAAGTTCCTATTCTTCACAACTTAAAGAGGAAATAGCTTTTCATGTGATTTTGCTACTTCAGCCTTTTTATCTTGTCCTTATCATAGTAATAGGGAGATGCAGCAAAATCAATTAATGCCGATGTGTTATCTAAATAAAAAAAACTATATACAAACACCATGTCATTATCTTGGTTCTGTACTGAGGTCATCTACAGCTTATGAATACTGACCTTTTATATATTGCCTTCGACATAAAGTAATCCTCTGCTATGTAGCAAGAAAACACTTCAAGGCCACCTGCACAATGTCAAATAAGGTTAAAACTCAAAACCAACAAATGGTATTGAAGATCTCTCATAGGAACATTCTCCCTGTAAAATCTCCTTCGATGATTCAAAAGATAAGCAATCAGGGATCTAGTGTTTGCAAATAATTCATAATCACTGAAAGATATAATCTCAAGTTTGTGTAATTTACCTAGTTCATCCAGAAGTGGCTTGCTGTATAGACTTGACATGCCATTTGCACATAGTAGACCAAAGCAATAAGCTAGCAAGTACACAAATGCATGTTGTGTTCCAAAGTAAACCTGTGGATAAGATTTTAATCACTCATTACAACTAAGCAACAATGTAAAAAAGAAGCAAGTTTACAAAAATATACTAGACACTCTAGGGAGTGTACTGTGGTATAAGTTCACACAGCAAGGAATGGAAAGACTCTCAAACAAGAAGGTGTGCTATAAAAGGAGAGGTGCCTTGGGTACCTCTGGATCATTTGTCAATCAATGGTTGCAGCATACAGACCACTATATTCAAAAGAGCTTGAGCTGCAGCGGATCCAAAGTAAGTGAACAGCAAAAACACTGATAAGTTTCAATGATATTCTCTCATCACAAAAATAATTTGTTGAGGTTTGTATCTCCTTCTTCCAATTGAAACCATCTTCATTAGTTGTGGTAAATTTGGAATTGGAAATGATTTGCTTTGCCATCACATAATATTACCATGGCATAATTTGCACTTGAGCTGAAAACCAAGGGGCGAAGCCAATCTGTCTATATCGTGCCTTTGTGTTTGAGAGATGACCAGATACAGTGTCAAGTGTAATTGTACTCTTCCTACACCAGACAAACCATATCCTACCTTATCAACACATGCAGCAAAATCCATACAGTTGGCAACAAAGGGTAACTATTGAACAGAAAAACATGTGACTAAAATCATGACACAATATTGTTAAAGTACACAAAGAATGGCTGGGATATAGAACAGCTTTCAAGAAAGTATGGTGATATCTTAAGGGGAAAGGGTGCAGTCTGAGAATTTAAAGATGGAAAAAAATGAATCAATGGCAGCTCTAATTTTTACCAAAGAAAGAAATAGATAACAACAGAAGAGAAAAATATTCTTGACCAGAAATCTGCTGCCCTTAGCTTTTTATTTTGATACCTGGAAATTGCATTTTCAGATTAACCTGATCATGGGCAAAACATGAGTTTGGCAGGTTGCACATTATTGGTATTGAGATCCAAGTTGACATATGAAATACTGTATCTTAATTTTCAAAACATTAAATGTTTGCTAAATAGTGTGTGACAGGCTATACCTTTGCCATAGTTAAAAAGAATAAATGTTAAATCATTTTTGCTCCTGATTAGGAACCTCTTTGAGACCAAAATTTCATCTCCTGACCAAATACTAAAAAAACTGGAGGTACTTAATATTCCTTTGATCAGAGAAGAACTGTAAACAGTTAAAAGCCACCTTAACCCATGAGACTACAAGTCTCGATGTGGTAATATTCATTATTATTTTATGATTTTGTTGCTTAGTGTACCTCATGTAATCTTTATTACCTGATGAACCATTCCTACTCCTGGTCCCATATGAGAAACTAACTCTTGAAGAGTGCCTTGATGAACTAAAGACAGCAGTACCACAACAAAAATATAAGAATTATAATTTAGTATTTCTCAACAGAAAAACAAGTAAAAAATTGAATAATGATTTCTAAACTGCAAAAATGAATTACCTTACAATTGATTTGCAATACACAACACTAGTATAAACACAGGGTTGATTTGGAAAAAGACACATTGTTTCAACAGAGAAGGAAAGTGCTTTTCCTTAAAATACCCATACTGAATACTGACAGATGACCCTTCTGAACTTCAAAGGGAAAAGTTGAACCAGGGTGCCATCCCTAAAATTATTACAGAAAAGACTCAAGGAAAACTGGAATTTCCAGTGGAGTCAGGTGATAAAGATTAAAGGAAAAAAAATCTACTTCTGGGAGATGTTGCTTCCTAAAGCCAAGAAATCATTATTTAGCATTATCTTCAGTATTTAGTTCAAATAAGGCTTTTCCTGAATAAGATGACAAAAAAACCTACCGGGTTATAGAGATTATAGGTGTAATTGCTCATCAGTGTTACTTTAAATACTACTGACAAAAAATACTGTGTTACCTTTAATATTACTGTCACAGATCCATAGCAGGTCATATTTTGCTGCCTTGTAACCTTGGTTCATGTTGTTAATTTTTGGATTCACACCAATTGTCTTTGCAGCTACAGAGAAAAGTCAAGATGTAAATTGATAGTGAAACTTTATTTCCAACACTGTCCACTTTTCAGCCACATTTGTTGACTTTGTAACTTATAGAAACCTTACATCACTGGAAATGTCAAGTACAATTCTCTGGGATAACCCTAAGGAAAAGATTTAAATCATCAAGATTGGCTCTAAAATCAGCCTCTTCACTTTTGTCCTCTTTTTATATCTTTAGATTGTAACTAAACACCACAACAGACAGAAGCTTGTTTTGGGACCAGACAGCTTATTAAATGTATATATCTTACATAAATAACACACAACACTATTACATAAAAGACATTTGATTACACTAAACCAATGGTTCAGTAATCAGGAATAAATTACAAACATGAATGAGATTAAGATACAACTGTCTATGGTGTAGGTGGGAGGGAAACTAAACCTTTCTTAAAGTTAGAAATAAAATTGTTGGTTGTTTGCTTGCTAGAGTACTATTAACACGTGCACAGATACCTAAGCTACTTACTAGAGTAATTTTGTGATTAAAACACATTAGCGTGGTGAATAGCCATTGGCTCTACCCAAGTCTTAAGACTTATGTGCTAAACAAATTCCTCAATCTTAAAGAAAAGGGAAAATACTAATATACACCCTGCCTGTACCCACTCCACGCCTCTCAGTCATTGATATCTAGATTCATATTACTAAAGATTAATATTCACAATAATACATGATAATAATATAATAATACTTATTTTTTCTCTTTTGAAAATAAAGAAAGAAAGAAAATTCTTTATGAAAATTGGGACAACTGGTACTATTAGGAAAGAGCTCTAAGCAAGTGCCATTCAAAGTGATATCTGTATAAAACAGACTCCTCCTTGACTTTTATCAGTTTCTTCTTAATAAAGGTTAATTGTGGAAGAGTAGTTAACTATTAAGTTCAAATAGAACAGAGTGAGCAATCAGCACTTTTCAAGGACAAGTGGTTTAAGGTTGATAAAATAGTACCTATATGCTAATATTAATATTTTATCAAGTAAAAAATGTTATCTTTATCTAAGGAAATAAAAAAAAACTCTTTCATCAGGCCTATCTACTTCACATGGATGTAAAGTGTCAAAGGGGCTAAATTTTGTTGTCAGTACCCACTAGAAGTGTAAGCTAGACACAGGTACATTTGATAGGTACTTAGGCTGATGTCTGTTTAAGAAGTCTTCTTAATTTGGGGCATGATTTACACAAGTTTATTGTATTTTGTATAAACAGTTCAATGCAAGAAATTTAAAGTTGTTTCTTACAGATGCAACCACTCTTGCCATATTTTATAGTAATACCTTGACCATGAAAAAAATTTTTTTCTTATTATTTGAAGGTATGGGAGCACTATATTTTTTCGGTGACAAAGAACAGCACACAGCTAAATAATTATATATAACTCGCTGCAGGTAGAACAATATTTTTTCAGTAGTTGATTTGAATATTTAATGAGACACAGGGGAGATAAAGTGAAAAATTCTTTAACAGAAAACCAGGGTATAATTTTAAAAAATTTACAATAAAATTATTCCCAAGAGATCAACATACAGCTATTGTCTCTTTCGAAAAACAAAGTAATTAACGGCATGTCTCAGTGTAGCGATTATGATAGACAACACTGTGGTTTTTGAGCAAACTTCACCTGCTAAAATTTAGAAAAATAATGTATCCTGTTGGAAATTTCGGACTGAGAACTTTAAGACTGCTACATTGTTGTCCTGGGTTTATCCGATTTATAAATTGGTGACGTTGAAAGCAATTCGTTCTACCTTAAGGGCTTCACGGTTGAGTTCTCTGATCATTTTTATGCAAATAAAACCAGGGGCCCTCCTTAAAAATGAATTTAAAATATTTTTCAACGTTAAAAGTATCGATTGTCTCCGTTTTCAAAACAGAGATATTTTTGTGCGTAACCTACCCGTAAATAATCTCGAATTCACCAGAGGATATGCTTCCATAAGTTGACGTACAATTTTGACTGCGGGATCCAGTTCATCTTGCACACAAACAAGGATCTCATACTGGAAAGAATAAGATTAGTCTGTGTGTTCAGTAAACTTCACTGAACTTAACTTAGGGGCACATATTTCAGTTTGACTAGAGTCTCAACCAACAACCCACATGTTATAATAAAGAAAAACAAATAAGGCTTAAAAAGGGTAACAATAGGATATAGCGATACAGCATTGAGAGCGAAAAAAAACATAGCGCCCAAAATAACACAAATCTCACCTTAGGGTAATTTAGTTCGAAAAAGCCTTGAAGATTTTTTATCAGATTAGGCTCATCTCCGACCAAAGGCTACAAGGGAAAAATAAACTCATGAGCGAATTATTTCTTGGGTCGCCAACAGAGCAAAACAGCTCTTGAGTCTCAAAAGTAAGCTCATTTAGCATAAGTATTGGCGGATCAATAGCTGACCAACGCATTATTTAATATAAAGCTATAATGTTTAAAGGATACCTTACCTTCAAGATTGAAACCCCCGGAAGTTCTTTATTATTGACAGCGGGAGTAGATTTATGAAGGTGAATCTTACTAAAACATAGCACATTGACAAATTAGTAAATGTACCAAACAGTACGCGAAGTTGAGCGGAATATCAAATAGCGTGGCTTTGCAAACACTGAAGCAAATGATACTCACGCTGTTGCTATAGATATTAACTGAAATAATGCTAGTACTATCCATAATAATAAAAAAGAGAAGGCTAAGAGATCTGCAGCGCTTGGCGCGTAAATCTCCTCTAGGTCCCCAAACGTGGAAGCCATCTTGAAAATTAACCATACTTTCCGCCTGCGCTCGGGCCGAGAAAGCTTGCTAGCCTCTGATTGGCTCGTTCTTTCAAATCTGTAAAATGGATTGGTTAAAACTTCCCGCCCTTTTTGAGGTTGCAATAGTACAGTGACGTGGCTTGAGTCGTTTACCATTTGCGCCTACCGGAAATGTAAACCAATGTTTATTTACCTTGGAAATCTCTTGGAAGATATCTCTGTTCCGATATAAACAATATCAAGCAATCATTACCGGTGTATTTGAAACCACTTTTACTGCCTTATTGTAGTCGTGGACGATATGATTCTCGTTCTTCAGCCCAAAATAAATGCCTAGTCTATTTACACGTAGAATCTATCCGCTTGCAAACATCAGTGTCCTGGATAATTCATGATTGACCGAATACAGTTATGAAACATTCGATAGAACCAGACAAACGGTATAACTCAGCGTATGCTCTCCATATAAAAAAAAAAATTTATTCACCTCCTGGCACCTCCCACACCGTTCCCTTCCCGACAGTCAACCTTCTTTCTGGGGGCAGCAAGCAAAGCTTTGGTCAGCGGCTTATAATTGACCAGTGTAACGGTCGTGTAGTAAACGGAAAGCGAAGAAACGAAATTTCATGAAATGAGCATCACAAGTCTTGATATCTTTTTTATTGCGCGTCGGTACAGTTGAATTCCTTAGGATGGATTGGGAAAGCAAGTTTTCTTCCATTGTACGTGAAACTGAGACGAATTTAGCAAGAGTTAGGGTAAGAAGGTTTCGTGTTTAGAAAGATTGTCACACATTCCTTCAGTCGCTCGTAACGCTTCTCAAAGCTTCAACGTAGCACAAAAACCCTTCTTCTCCGGTTGAATTCGAACGGAATTTAACGTTCTTCCAAATTTTCTTAAAGCATGTCTGTTTATATCTCAGGATCGCTTAGGTTCTGGTAGAGGCAAACCAAAAGCATTCCCCGACAGGTCAAGTGGAAACCATTTTGGCGGTGAGAATATAGTGTTTTCATTGGCTGTTTCGTTTCATTAATATTAATGATTTTTTCAACATAAGTAACATATTGCCATATGTCACGACGAGTGATGAAAACATCTGCGAGACTCCGACAAATTTCAATATTTTGCGTTAACTGAGGTAAATCATTTTTTAATCTTTCCATAAATGTTTTTCATGGTAAGTTTCAAGAATCACCCTTGACAGTTAACCCCTCTAAGATCCTGAGATCCAATTAGTTAATCTTCCAACTAACTGCCATACGTTTTATTGCAAATGAGTTTGGAGAATTCCATTTTGAATCTTGATAACACTCAATATTAGCGGATGAACTTGTTTATTCACAACTAAAAGAAGCAGATAATAATTGGCAGTCAAATATAGTTACACAGTATTCTATTTGGGTAGCGTAGAACATGAAAGATTTATTAAAAAAATGTTGAGATTCTCGTCTTGTTTTTTATTTGTTTATTTGTTTATACACTTGATCCAATTTTTCTTTACAGCCTATGTCCAAAGAAAGTGGGGAGAGGCCTCACATCTTAAAATGTTATAGCATGGACACATACATAAGACTAACTTAAACAATCAATTTCTGGTAACTAAAACCCTTGCCAACAATATCACTGTGCAAACTCAAATCAAATTACTGGTAGATCAGGATAGAACTGAGTCAGTAGATAATGCCATCCTAACACGTCAACAGGCAATCTTCACTCTCAGGCCACCAGAAGTCCATTTCAATCCTCTGTGGCATGGGACTTACCAAGCAGCTTAAACAGTCCTGTGAAAACAGTTGGCATGGCAACCAGTGTTCCATCTAGTCAGGCATCACCTGCTTTGGTGAATGCATTGTTTGAAAGGGTTGAGGAACAAACTGAGGTATATTTTATAAGCATAGTGTACTTGCAGCTCTTTTAGATGTTTGAAATAGATAAACAGCAATAGGCCATTTTATAGTTGTGTACTTAGTTGCCAAGCCTTTGATATGGAGTGAGACTAAAGGTGACCTTGTTGTGATAGTATCTAGTTAACATGATAACAAAGTAATTTGCATTTAAAAAGCAGCAAGGTTTGTATCATAACAAGGTCAACCTTAGCCTTACTCCTGTTCAAAGGCTTGGCAATCAAGCACACAATTGTAAATTGGACTATTATTACTGGACAAGACTGCAAATATCACTTTTGAAGAATCAATCTTTTTTTTTTCTTTGTGATGTTTATTTTATTGATTAGTTGCAATTTACCAGTAGTTACATTGGAAAGGTTAAGATAAACACTTCATACAAAATTAACTTTTGATAGCTTGCTGGTCTAAACACAGTTTTTGTGGCTATAAGCAAAAGGTTAATATTGCTGCCCCTTCTGAGTAGATTAGTTTAAGCTTAATGTGTTGATCAATTCGAAGCTTCAACATACTCCCCTCCAGGCAAATGCCCTGCCCCCAGGTTATTTGAACTTTGGAAGATTGGTTTGTTCAAATTCCTTCCCCTGGGGCAAAAATTGGGCTCAAATGCTAAGCACAAGTTTTTCTTGGATGGTTGTCTTAGTGATCGCAACAAATGTTGAAGAATTTAGCAAAGTCTCGCATTAGTTTTTGGTGCTGCTGTTTGGTTTTTGCTTGAATGAACATCATTCTACAATGTGAACATTTTCAAGCCATTTGCTCACAAAAATGCACTCTTGTAAACTCCTCCATAGTTAAAATTAAACTCAACAAAAAATTACAGAACGATGACCAACTTGGGTTTTGTTCTTGAATTTGAGTAAGACTGAGTATGCTTTAATCTTTCTGCTTGTCTATTGAAGATGGTGAATCAGCTGAGTGATGCAGTTAAAAAGCTTCTGAAAGAAAAAGATGTACATGCTGCAGAAATCAAGAAAATGAAAGGTTGGTTTTAGTTTTGGCAAATTTCTGTTAGCTTGGCCTAATTTAGGTTTTATATGATGTTGCCTTGTACAGTCCAAATTCTCTTAATAGTTTACAAAGATTTGTAAGCAGGCTCATGTGCTGAGAGTAAAGAAAAACTCAACTACATGTGGCTGTAACTTGATTGTTTTGTCTGCTAAACTTGCTTCTACTATTCAGATTATGGTCATGAAAGTTTTTAAACCAAGGGAAAAATTTGAACTTCAGTATGTCTTCATGATCTACAAAGGTTTTTCTGAGCTACATTTTTGTTATTTTCATTTGTTTCTGTTCTTGACAACAGAAAGAAAAATTTGAAGGACAGAGTTGAATGTAGGCACACTGATTAATACCAAATAGTTAGGATTTACCACTGTTTTCCTTACATGAATTGGTGTTGGTTATGGGTAGTTGATGAAAAATGTATTATTTTGTGTCATGATACTAGTATAGGTAATCACATGATCTTGAGTGAAGTTTGGAATAAAAATGCATAAGTAAATTTTTTCATAGACTAACAAAATTGCATGAGCCCATAGGGTGAGTGCAATTTGTGGTCTTTGAAAAAATTTGCAAGTGCTTTTTTATTCCAAATTGCAGGAGAAAAATCATATGATTACGTATTAATAATATACATGAAAAAATAAGAGATAGCTCATCATAATTATGCAGAGGCAAAGTGCATGCATCAAGTGCTAAAATGATTTATTCAAACCATGTGTTTGGTCAAAACAGCTGTGTATGATCAAAACAATAACATATAATGATACTTTTACATCTTTAAGGCACAAAAAAGTTCAAAGTCTGGCTAAACAGTTCAAGGAATTGTTCAGTCTGGTTTGCTACTTCTTTGCACTGAATTGACCCTCTTCTGCATCAAATTACCTGAAAACTGCATTTATCTTAACCAATCAGAACTGAGTAATTTTTTCATGTATCTTATTAAGCCTTTAATCCCCAAGATCTAATTGTTAATTCTCCCCTCTACCCATTACACATTTCTTTATAAATTAAGTCATGAGAACTTGGAGTTTGATCAAGATAACTTCCACTTGGTATGTTTGAGTATCTCATGACTTGGAAGAAGTTACATGTTAATTGCATCTGAAAGTTACAGAGTTGACAGTAAGAACTGACATTTTTGGGAGGGTGTTTTAATTGGAGTTCCTATTTGTTGATAACAAAGTTGTGATTTTTGTCTCAACCTTTGTCGGAAATTAATTAAAAGTGTTTTTAATTGATTTGGTGATGTAGATGAAATAAACAGACTGAATGATAGGCTCAGAGAAAGAGGAGTGGACCTTGAAACAGAAAGAAAACTAGAACAAGTACGTGTACCCTCTGTTTTGAATTCTATTCAATTTTTATCTAAGGCTGCATCCCTTCTAAAATTATTCCTCTTTTCCTCATATTTCTTTTGGATATGTATCTTGAGTTTACATGATTATTCTATACGTTCTGACGAATGATTTAAATTTAATATATAATATCATTTTAATAAAACTATGTTGAGAAACATAGCTGACTTTCTTGCTCCTAATTGGCAACATGGGTTTGTTATCAAATTTAATTTTGTAACAATTTCTTGTGTTTCAGTTTAAACGTGATGTATTCAGTCAGTTGGATATGGTACGAAACCAAACTAAGCTGAGCCCAGATGCTGCTGGAAACAATTCTCGTTATAGTAATGACTCAGTGGTCATGAATGAGGCGTAAGTAGGCAAGATACAAAAGAAATTTAACAATATATAATGACTAACTTCTTAGGGTTTGTGTTATTTTAATTGTGACCTGACTTTCCTTAGAGTCTGAATTTAATTCTAATGCATTGGATAGACTAGCCAACACATTCTGCAAAGAATATCAGCCATCGAAGTTTGTTTCAACTGATAAAGGAATGGTCAAGTACAAAGGAAGACTTGGCTTCAAACAGTACATGCCCATGAAGCCTGTGAAATGGGTGCCTGCTGATGCGACGAATGGTTTTGTAAGCACAATGCAAGTCTACACAGGCAAAAATGATGGTGGCCAGCCTGAAAATGGTCTTGGACATTGTGTCGTTTGCAACCTTGTGAGCAATCTGAAGGGGAAAAATTATCACATCTTTTGCGATAATTTTTTCACTTCAGTTTGACTGGCTAAAGATTGACTGTCCAACAAACTCTATCTTTGTGGAACAACACGTGCCAATAGAACTGACTTTCCTAAAGACTTAAAAGCCAACAAGCCCGAAGTGAAATCGCTCCGTCGTGGTGAATCTGTCTTTCGTAGGAAAGGGAACATTGTTGCATCCATGTGGAAGGACAAAAAAGCCGTGGCTTTTATAAGTACCCATTGCAATGCAAGAGGAAACAAAACCATACACAGAAAACAGAAGGATGGAACCTACATTGAAGTTCCTTCTCTCCTGGTGGTAAAGCCTTACAACCAATACATGGGGGGAGTCGATCACAGTGATCAAATGCGGCAATATTACGATACATCACGACGGGCAAATAAATGGTGGCGGTATCTGTTATAGTTTTGTCTGGATGTAAGCATTGTGAATGCACATATTTAAATGCAAATTGTGGATAACCATCCAAACTTCACACAGCTTCAGTTTTGCATTGAAATGGTGAAGATGCTGATCGGTGACTTCTCATCCTGGCAACATGCCGTTCAAGAAGGAACTGTTCAGACTGGACATTGGCCTGTAAAAATGAGTAAGGGAAGATGTAAGAGATGTTTGAAAAGAAAAAAGACAACGTTCTGTGGGATGGGATGTGATTCATGTGGTGAGAGGTTCTGCTTGGATTGTTTCAAGAATCACAGTACGGAAGCCTGACATGGCACGAAATTTAAATGCCTTGAACAATGAACGCTCTTTTGCCTCGGTTATAAAAACACTTTAGAAGACATACCAGTAATTTTGTTTGTGTTCTTTTCAAATTGATCATTTTTGCTGTAAATATTTCTGTAAAATATTTTTGCTTTACCTACCTTATATCGAAAAAATTACCTAGTGAAACAGCATATATGCTTTCGTTCATTGAATCAAAATGATGTTAAGAACAGTTTTGCGTGTTGCATGATTTTGAGGTTTGTTTTGTCAACTTATTTTCTCATATTGGAGATGTTACTTATCTTAAATGAAAACTTCAATCTCTGAAGAATAAACTTTCTTGCATTGCTTAGTCTAAGAAAGAAGAACAGTAAAGGATGATTAAAGTATTACTGATCTTTGTTAGAGTTTAGTGCCTTGCAATGCTAAGAGGTTCAAATGGGTTAGATCTGACCTCATATGTACTATCTGGTTCTCCTAAAATAAGACTTGAAAAGACATAACTGATATCAGCCTCTAACCATACAGTCTTAACCCTTTAACCCCTAAGATTGACTGGCTTTTAATTTCTCCAGTCAGTGTCATCCTTTAATCAAATATAAAGGTCATGCGAATAAAAGAAATGGTTGCCTATTAAGTAGCCCTTGATTGTCAAACAAATTCTCCTTGTCAGTACTTTAAGAAACATGAAGAGAAAAGTGTGGAGAATAATTTTGGATATCAATGTTAGGGTGTAAATGATGAACATTCTTACACTGACTAGTTGATTTACAAAGGCTTCTTACTGATTTCCATAACATAGTAGTAATTATATTATAATCGTGCCTGTAATTTAGAATTTTATCCTTATTTTGTAAAACCCTTTACAGGAAAAGAATGATTGAAGAAGAAACAGAGTCTTTACAAAGGAATATTGAGCACCTTAAAACAAGACTGGGTATGAAAAAGCCACAAATAATTGCTACATTGCATAAGTTTTAACAAAAAAATTCATCAAAAATTGTCTTGTCACTCAAAAGAACAGTATATGTATTTTTATTTTTATATCTAACTCAGTTGTTAATACTAAATTAGCTTATGTTTATATATTTAAAATTGGGGAGACATTTCATCCTTCTGGTTAGCAAGCAGTATAATTGTGGATATGGTGAATGTAGGGGCTTTCAGCTCTGACAAAGTTGTGTGGTGTTCTTGGATGAGACACTTTACTCTCACCACACACACTTGTGGTACCTCACAAAATGCCTCAGGAAGTGTGAGGGGTTGCTGTGGACTAGCCTCCTGTTCAGGGAGAGTTGCAATACCCTCAATTACTTCATGTGAAAATGTGATGAAGCACACACACTTTGGACCACATTTCTGGAGTGCTCAGTCGTGTAATATTTACCTAATCTTCCTTGTATCTTACATTTCTTATCTTTGTTATGAATAAAAACAAAACAGGTAAAATGGAGCTTGAGCTACACTCTACAGTTGCTGATTCCAGAGATGTTCTTTATAAACAAGAGAGGTTGGACAAAGTAAGTTTCTGAATTTAACACTTGATCGTGTAATGTTGTTAATGTAGTTCTACTTGATTGGTATCTTTGTCCAAACAGGTTGGTTTTCTATGTTGATCTAGGATCCCTATGTTCCACTTCATATATTGTACCTCAATAGATTCCTCTTGAATCATTAACTATTATAAACAATAAGTATTCCCTTCCATTGTTTTTGTTTACATTTATAAAGTTTATTTAGTGTTTACATTGGGTTATAAAAAAAGTATTGATCAGAAATATTTTTTGTGCAGGCTTTGTCATCACTGTCAGAGAATCAGCGCTCACAATCAAGAAGCCTAAGCAGCATTGTTGATGAGAGACAATCTGACTCATATGAGATACAGCAACTTAAGTAAGTCATCTTAGGAACATTTGTAAATACACAGTTTGATCCTCTTATGCTTAGGAGTTAATGAAGAAAATATTAATGCTCATTGGCAAATACTCTTGTCAATGAATACCGTGAATTGCTTACTTTAAGTATTGATATAAATATTTGTCTTATTGTTTATTTTGTTTGTTTTGTGATCAGTGATACATGTTTTTGTTTACATGCAGACACCTTGTAAACAAAGTGAGCAATCAATATTCTGAACTAGAAACAGAACTTCAGTCCAGCATCAGGCAATCGGGAGTTTCAAGTAAGACATTTAGAACCCTGTGGAGAAGTCTTGTCAAATTTGAAACTTCCCTAAGTTTTCAAAAGATGATAGAGTAATGTTATCATAGTTTTCAACCTGTTTTGTTTTGAGTATTAAGAGGCAAGTAATCTTCCTGGATAAGATGCCAAAATGTTGTGCTTATTTTGGTGCTTAGCATGGATGTCAGGGAAGGGAGAATTTTTTTAAAATTACTTTCATCATGAAGGTGAGGGACACACAACAGAGTGAGGCTCCAAATTAAGTGTGCCCTTAACCCTTTAACTCCCAAGATCTCATTAGTATAATCCTCTAACTGATATTTTTCTTTATTCTCATCACTTGTCTGCTTGATATTGTATTGATATTGTGAGGAGAAATTCTGTCTTGGTCACTTATGGGAGTTAAAGGGTTAAGAGAGGCACTGTGAGAGTGAAGTGTCTTGCCCAAGAACACAATGCATTGTCCCGGTCAGGTCTTGAACCTGGGCCTCTCTCTGGGCCACTGCACCTCCCAGTTTAAGACAACACAGATCACAGTCATGACTACAAATATACTGAAATATAAGGAGTATGTGGTAAAAATTTCAAGGAACAATTTTAATCCTCAATGTAGGATCCTGGGAATAATTTTCTTTATTTATTCATTTATTTGTTCAAGTTTAGTTTTAAATTTCTAATAAATTAGCTATTTGTGGAACCTTGGAAAAAATGTAAATCATTCCAGAAGTTTGAACGGGAAGATTTGCAATGGGCAATAGTTTGAAGTTCAAATTGGGGATCATTTGTAGTCCTGGAAGCATGTGGGGAAGCTGTACAGATTTCATTTTGTGAAACCCTCTTAGTAAGGCACTTTCTGTTTCGTTCACCATACAGGTAGCAACTCTTCTCTGAGACAGGTTCGACCACGCTCAACCAACCAAACCACAATGACCAATGGTGCCTCCAAACCAAAGAAAAAAGCTGTCAAACAGAAATCTAAGGGAGCTTCAGATGATCTTGTCTTATCAAGTAGTAGTGATAGTGATCTAAGTTTGACAACACTTGATGCCAGCAGCCCCAGTGATACAGACCTAACCTCCCTGCAGCTTGACAGATCATATGCAGGTACAGTACCTAGAGGTAGGAATAGCAAAAATAGTTCAGATACTCTAGCAGTCTTGTTTCCACAGTCTTTGTTCCTCTTGATGGGAATGTAGATTGTCACTTTATCAGCACAGTATGGACCTTGTAGTGCCAACTGCATCACCAAGGTCTAACACAAGTGGTAAAGGAAGAGATAGAATCTTTCCAGCCTGGCAGCTTTTTAGACTTTCTCTGAATTTATTAAGTGTCAAAACTGTTTCATGCTGGTTATGGGAAGGGAGAGTTCTATTCCAGAAAGAAATATTATCATCAGTGACAATTTTTCCATTAGTGTCAATCTTCTCCAAATAAAATTTATTTATGCTTGCATAATGTTCATTTCAATTAACCTTTTTGCCTTTGATGTTCTTTTAGATTTTATACTTAAAAAATACATGCAATAGGGAAAATAACTGTTTTTTTTCTCTGTAGGGGGGTCTGGAATTGGAATAGGAAACATTTCTAGTTCATCACTGAGTTCCCTAGATTCTGATGATCTGCTTAAATAACTGTCACATTGAGATCAAAAGGAATATTATGTGATATAATATTTACAATGCTCTCTCCAGTGACACAACTAATTGCACTGTTTTTATTTGTTGTATGCATAAAGTGTTAGCAAAGCAACAGATTGCAGGCAAAAAGACCCATTAATTGTAATAATTCAGCTGAATGAGACAAGTACAGTAGTTAGGAGTTTGCTTGATGCCTACAGGCAGAGACTTTTTTGTAACTGATAATGTATTCTTCAATAAATCATTTTTTTACACAGTGGTGAGAATGCAGTTGTTCATGTTGGCTTAGTAGTGAGAGTGCTCGCCTTCCACTGCTGTAGCCTGGGTTCAATTCCCAGATGTGGTGTCACATGTGGGTTGAGTTTGTTGTTGGTTCTTCTTGTTGCTCCATGGGTTTTCCTCCAGTTCTCCAGGCTTCCCTCCTCCACAAAAACCAACATTCCAAATTTTAATTCAACCTAGTATTACCGTATCGTATAAAAAAAAAAAACACTAGAATCTTACAAACTCAACTACTTCATTAAACAACTAGTGATATTCTTAATAAGGAGTGACTCCTAAAGGCAGTACAGTACTTATGCTCAATAAACTTACTTAAGCCCACTACAGTCTATATATTGGCTCACCACTGGGCCAAACTCACAGTTTCCTCCAACTTTTCTTGAACTTAGCAATCTTCCACTGTAGCTCTCTCTCACGGTATAGCTTTCTAAACAGTTGGTCACTCCCAACAACAATAACAACTACTATGTAACTGAGTCTGTATAGACATTTACAAAGTGCTCTTGAACATTCCAGAAGCTTATAAAAGAACTATTTTAATGGTATTATGTAATAACTGTGTGACTTGATGAAATGTTCAAGTAAGTTCTATGGTACACATTTTGGCATGACTAAGCAGTCTGGAGATTTCTAGAAGCTTCTATTAAGAACAACAATTACTCATAACACTGGAAACAGACAAGAAGAGCCACCTTGTGGAGTGTCCACTGCTAAAGTCACATTCCCATTTACACGTTGCATGTTGTTACAGTGGCAAATTTCAATAGGAAATTTGTTTAGGGAAATTATAAGCTATAAAAGCCAGAAAAATGTTAAAAACAATCACTCAATTAAATTTCAAGCAAGATTGTCATACCTGTTAGTGCTCACAATTAACCATAAAAGGGAAGACAACAGTTTAAATGGGAATTTATTCCATACCAATGACTTTGCTTTGTCTAGATAAGTTTTACCATAAAGGTATTTATCTTGATGCTTTTGTTTAAATGGTTTTTAGTATTATTGAACAACTTCAATAGTGAAAACTCATTATCAGTTAGCCCTTTATTCTAAGGGTTGATTACCAGCCAAAATTCACCTGGCAGTCCCCCTTTTTTTAGCATGGGAAATTGATAGCTTTCAGCCAGTGACTCACAATTTCCTTGGCAGTTCCCTTTCCCAATTATGTTTGCCATCATGGTCCCAACCTTAGGAGAAATAACCCTAGCATACATTAACCTCATACCACAGAAAGAAGGCTTGCCTCTATTAAGGTCTTGTACATCCTTATGACCACCATACACATACAAAGGGTAGTATAAAAAAATATTCATCAGAGGTTTCAATTCTTTGGTATATTACCTAAAGCAGGGGGTTAATGTGTTCCTTAAAAAGATCCTCAAGTTGTAGTTCCATAAATCTTTCTTTTAGTTGTGAGGCAGATTTGCATTCTTCTTTGTCAAAGTCAGAAATCCTACAAATTTAAAAAGAAAGGTAATATGACTAGTGATGATTATTACATAGCTCTATAACTGAAGAGTAGTGGGCTGTAAGTAAGGGTGGGCCAATGTTACCATGGCAATGAGAGGGAAAGTCAAGAGAAGCAGAATATCAGTCACTTGGAGGAATAATGTGAGGGTTTGTTTTAACAAATCAGTCTAAATATAAACTTTCAGTCTATCCCTCATGAAGAAGCATGCTCCAGAAAAAAGTTTAATTTGTATCTGTACCATATGTATGAATATATAGAGTTATTAAATGGACATTGTTTTCACCATTGATCCCACTATTTGAATCTTGCTTTCCAAATACGACCCAAGCAATTAGAAATTTTCTTCCACTGTGGTAAAAATTTTACCATTGATTCCACTATTTTGAATCTTGCTTTGCAACCTGGATGCTGACATGATACCTAAAAAGTCTCACTGACTCCTCTTTTTTCCTTCTCTAGTCAATCTGTTCATGAGCTACACAAAAAGGCATTCTTGACTCAAATGATGACTTTTTGTGCATAACAACAGTAGCAGCTGTATAAGAAATAAGCATTGTAGTTTTGTGTGTGCAAGTTACTGTCTCTTTTCAAAATTGTGGCATATTCAAACACAATTTGTACATTTTGATTAAAACTTTATAATGGTAACAAAAAAATTGTGTAGTTTTCATAACATTCTTTCACCTTAAACCAGTCTCATACCTTTTTGGTTCTAATTAAACAAAATTATCTTAAATTTGATGATGAAAAAGGCTTGATATACAGTTTTTTCTCTTAAATAGACCTCACAGTTTTGATTCATTGCTCAACACTCTTACTGACCCACTGGATATTGTTCGCATAACACTTGTTAAAGTGGTACATGTTTTAATATTTTTACCTCAAATCGCGTGGAGCTTGTTCTTGCACCAAGACATTCATCATTCTCTCCTTGCATGGTTTTCCAGAAGAGTCAACGTCAACATTGCAAGTTTTATGCTTTCGTAAATATTCTTTGACATCACTAGCATCCCCAGTCAGCAAAAGGAAGATGAAAGCATTTAAGAGGAAGAGTCTTCCAGTTAAATTCACCTCGTTAATCCAACGTGTTATGGTTTTTATGTAACGATTTTTACTCCGCATGTGGTCTATCTTGAGTAAAATCATGATTTTATCTGCACAGTAACTACCATTTGTGCACTGTGATGCTGCACTTGTGTTGTCAAAACATAAAAAAGCTTTAGTATTCTCTTGCAGCCACAAAACCAGTTCCATAATCATTGGCTCGGAACTTGAACGACGAATATCGTTTGCAAACTCCAATAGATTTTTTCGCAAAGAATTCAAGTCTTTCTTCGACATTTCCGCGCATGATAGTGATATTTCTGGCAATTTTTGGGGATACTCATCTGAAATTACAACAGTCATTTCCACAACGATTGAAACAGGACTATTCCCCTCTGAGAAGTCTCGCCCTACGACACAACTGACGGAAATTTTGAAAGAAATTGGTCCTGAGATTTTCTCAAGGACATCAAATGATGACGGATTCACCAAGCAAAACTCTTTAGGGTTACAAAAAATAGATTTCAGGGCCATAACTTCATCCAACACTTCTGGCGCGAACATGACAGTTTTGTGCCAGGCGTTGCTTTCCTCGCTCTGAAGAAACTGGTAGGGATCCATAAGCAGCGGATAGGTTATGAAATTTTATTGCGGGCTCAATGTTGATGAGAGCTAGAAATGTCGGAAGTGGAAAACGTTACATCGTATAGTTTAACTTCACGCACCCTGACGTTTTCAATCAAGAATGACTGAGAAGAGGTAAGGAAAGATTTCTTTTAATTATTAGGATACTGGTTTTATTCGTGGTATATAAGACTGGATGTATGAAAGATGCCAATGTTCTGACCGTTGCTTTGGAAACGATGAGCTTAGTAAATGAAAATAAGTAATCCATGCAAGTCTTGTAACTTTGATGTGAACTCAAATTCTAGCGAATACACAAAGCAGACCGGTGAAATGTTATTGTTTACTTTGATCAGTACCCTAGCTGATGGAATTTCAACAATCAGCTTTAGTAAGTTTATGCACTAAAATTGTTTGTTTTGCTTTAACCCTTTAACTCCCAGATCAAATTTGTAATTTTTCTTACAGTCAACCATACAATTCTTATAATGTTAGTTCAGAGAATTTAGTATTGGACCAACTAATTATCCCCTGATTGATAATTTTCTTTATTCTCGTCACTTATCTGGTTGATATTGTATTCATATTGTAAGGAAAAATTCTGTCTCGGTTACTCATGGGAGTTGAAGGGTTAACTCTATGACAATTTTCTTGAGTCTCACTATCAAGTGGCAATAAGCACGTATCAAATTCACCTATCTGCCAGCTGTTAAAACTCTGTATTGCAGGCTCCATACCTCATGTCTGTGTTAACTGCCTTAGCCTTTGGCTTCAGCAGGTAACTCAGACCTCAGTTTAGATAATTCATGATATCATGCCCAACCTCATTCAACAGTTGCTTAGTATTAGGGTATAGATTATATGAAAAACTGTGTTGAGCCACCTTGAGTTCATGATTTACTGTTTTATCAACAAACAACCATTATTAGGTCAGAGAAGACTATCTGGGACTTGGCAGTGGAAGAGAGGAATAAAACTGAAAACCATTCAAATAGAGGTATTTCCAATCTAGATGTATACTGTAAGTGTATTGTCAAGCCACCATTATATGTATTAATTTTTCTCAAGTTCCTCCAGAAAAAGAATTGGTGTGTCCTTGCTTATTTTGTCAGAAATTGTAAGGCCTAAGAAACTGTAGCATTTGGGTGCTAAGTACCGTACTACTTAAGGGAAAGACATTAGTTTTGCTTTTAACTCTTTACACCCCAACATCAGCATACATATTCTCCATACTGTTCCTTATATGTTTCTTAAGGTGTTGACATGGAGAATTTGTTTAACAATTAAGAGCTTCTTAAGTTTGTGATTATTTCCTTTATTCTTGTGACCTCAATGATTGATTTAGGGGTGATATTGTAAGGAGAGATACAATGCTTGTCATTCTTTGGAGTTAAAAGGTGAAGAATCATATGATGGGTCTGAGAATCAATGTTGCTTTCAATAACACCATGAATGCAAGGCAAAAGTAGAAACTAAAGTTAACTAACTATGAAGATGTTATTTTGAAGTTCTCTCTCTTCTTGGTTAAGATCAACAGGATGACTTACAGTTGTCAAGCAGTGATGAATCCAGTATCTTTATCCTGGGAAGTAAAAACTCTGTAAGTTTTCATCAGCTTTGTCACTCAGAAAGGGATTTAAATCACAAAAGACTTCCCTGGTGAAAATCTTTCAAGGATCTTTAAGGATCTTACAAGATCTTCATGAGGACCTTTGAGGATCCTCTTGAGGATCTTCATGAGGATCTTCAAAATTCTTGTTAAGATCTTCAAGGATCCTTCATTTTCTTGCCAAGATCTTCAAGGATCTTTCATTTTCTTGCCAAGATCTTTAAGGATCTTTCACTTTCTTGCCAGGATCTTCAAGGATCTTTCATTTTCTTGCCAAGATCTTCAAGGATCTTTGATTTTCTTGCCAAGATCTTTGAGGATCTTTGACTTTCTTGACAAGATCTTTAAGGATCTTTCATTTTCCTGTCAAGATCTTTGAAGATCTTGTCTGGATCTTCAAAGATCTTTACATGAACTTTGAAGATCCTTTAAAGATCTTTGAAAATTCTTTGAGGATCTTCCAAATTCTTGTTAAGATCTTTGAGGATCTCTCATTTTCTTGCCAAGATCTTCAAGGATCTTTTTGAAAATTTTGAAGATCCTTAAAGATCTTGGAAAGAAAATAAAAGACCCTTAAAGATCTTGGCAATAAATTGAAAGATCTTTGAAGATCTTGGCATAAAAAAGAAAGATCCTTGAAGATTTTGACAGCCAAATTAAAGACCTTTGCAAGAGATTTGAAGATCCTTAAAGATCTTGACAAGAATGTCAGTGAACCTTGAAGATCCTGGCAAGGAAATGGAAGATCGTTGAAGATCTTAGCAAGAATGTTATAGAACCTTTGAAATTTTGACAAGAAAATAAGCATACTTAAATCCTCATACTAAGTTAAAAAGAAAAATTGAACCAAACATAAAAAAATGAAGATAAAACTTTTTTTTATTGCTAAACGAGAATTACCCATCCTCTTCTAGTAGGACTACTTCTACACTATTTCTGTTCAGACTTGAGGTTAGTACTAAGATTTTTATTTTCCAAAAAATCTGGCAACAGTCCAGCTCAAAGATAAGAAGACCAAAATATATGTGTTAAACTTGTCTAGGACTAGACTATGACCAGACTCAGACTACTCTTATAGAGGGGGTAAACATGAAAAAAAGGCAAACAAGAGTACTTCAATGACTATATTTCTGAACCATATTAACCTACATACCAAAGGAAAGCTTAGGAATCACACATACTGAATATAACTAATATGTTGCCCTAAACTAATTTGTTATTTGACATCAGATCGATTTGTCCACCACATGGTGTGAAAAACCTAGGTAAACTTGAGAAAAGATAACTGCACAAAGATTGCATGAAATCAAGTGTTTTTAGTGTCAAAACAAAGTACTAGGGTCGTTCTTTTGGATGAGCTGAGGAACTTTTGGAGTCGTTTATATTATGGGCACAATGCCCGTTCAAAGTTCACCGAGATTATTAGGTGAGTTATTCCACAACATCTTACTTAAAATTTAGCTTATAGAGAAACTGTCAGCTTATCCAACTCAACTCAGTAAGAGGATACAGCCCTGAAAACTTCAGATTAATTGAACTAATACATCCTGAGGTACAAAATAAGTGTTTTCGGGAATTCATATGACAACCTCTAAAAGAGCTTTTTAAGTTGGTTACACAGAACCAAGTAAATTCACACCTTCTTCAGAAACATGTCCTTCAGTGAGCGTCGAGGAGAATCTCTCTAGATCGATAAGCCTGTATCCTTGTCCTGTAACACATCATTTGTATCCTCACTCTCCAAGAGCTCAGAGTAAGAATCATTAGGCGAGGATGGCATCTTCATTTTCTTTCCAGAAGTACCAATGAATTCTTTTCATTCAGCCCCAGAGTCAGAGCAATCGCGAGACCTGCTTGGAGTTTGATTGACGATTTCGGTTGTTTCTGTCTCTCTTTTCGCTTGTTTCTGAACTCCAGAAAACGCCTTTCCTTTACCTTTATTTCTGTGTACATTTTCCCTTTAGCTCCGACCATTGTCGATGATATTTGCCGTAACAACGAGCTTCTTATGTTTTTATGCGACCGTTAAAAATCTCGGCGCGTATAAATTCCTATCCCATAATGCAAAACCCTATTTGTTGTCATGTAAGTAGTAACAAAGTTTCCCGAAATCCTCGAGCATGGCGTTGCTATGCGGTAACCTTCATTATACTCATTGCACAATAATTTTCTGCGAAAATTCCTTGTTGTGTTTAAATTATAAAACAGTGAGTCCTCAATTTACAATTTTGTTATGTTTGAAATTACTTGAGGATTTCAAAGGAACCTAATTCATAATGCAGAGATGTGGTAGAGATCTTGACAAAGTTGCCTTTGAGATCCACATCAAATTCAAAAAGGATCCTTACAAAGAGCTGTACAAAATCATGAAATGAATCTTTTAAAGATATTTGGAAGATCCTTTTCAATTCCTTGAGGATCTTAAAGGATTGTAGAACAGATCATGCAAAGATCTTGACTAGGATCCTTGTAACTCCTAATCAAATTCTTAAGGATCTTAGCAAAGATCTTAGCAGGATCCCTAAAAGGTTCTTTTGAAGGTCTTTAAAAGATCCTCATTAAATCCTTGAGGATCCTGAAGGATCCTTGAAAAGATCCTGCAAAGATCTTGACTTAAGGATCCTTGTAAGATCCTGATCAAATTCCTAAGGATCCTGGCAAAGATCTTTACAGGATCCTTGAAAGGATCTTTTGTAGGTCTTTAAAAGATCCTCATTAAATCCTTGAGGATCTTGAAGGATCCTTGAAAAGATCTTGCAAAGATCTTGCGTAGGATCCTTGTAAGATCCTGATCAAATCCTTAAGGATCCTTGCAAAGATCTTAATAGGATCCTTGAAAGGATCTTTGGAAGGTCTTTAAAAGATCCTCATTAAATCCTTGAGGATCTTGAAAGATCCTCAAAAAGATCCTGCAAAGATCTTGACTAGGATCCTTGTAAGATCCTGATTAAATCCTTAAGGATCCTTACAAAGATCTTGAAAGGATCCTTGAAAGGATCTTTTGAGGGTCTTTGAAAGATCCTTGCTAAATCCTTGAGGATCTTGAAGGATCCTTGAAAAGAACTTTGCGAGGATCCTTATGAGGATCTTTGTAATATCCTTTGAGGATCTTTATCAAATCCTTGAGGATCTTAACAAACGTTTTTGCTTACAAAGATCTTTGAGGATCTTTTACAGATCCTTTAAAGATCTTTTAAAGATCCTTGTCCTTAAGGATCTTTGGCAGGTCTTTGTCAATCCTTGAAGATCCTCAAAGATCCTGTGAGGTTTTTCACCAGGGTTAACTTGTGAAATAATATTATTTAAAGAATTCAACATTTTATTTATTTGAGTTTCTTGTTCAACTCCTTTCCAGCAAAAATGTTTGTTTTGTAGTTATTTCTATGGTCATTTTTTGTTGTTCCACACTTTTAGTTAGTCTTGTGTAATTTTATCCTTTCATCCCTCCATTAAATAGTATGTTATTGTTACCAACCCATTTGATAATGGTGACATCTTGTCACAAAATGGTCATTTTTTGCTGTTACATATTATTGTTTATGAAGTCTTCCTGTAATCATTGTTCAATACTTATGAATTGTATCAATTTATAGGGTAAAACCTCCATAATTTTGAGATTTCTTGATCGGTGAGTATAATTATTCAAGATGCTAAACAACCTCACATTGAAAGCCATACATAAACAGTGAACTTTTATTCAATCAATAACTTCACTCCCAAGATCTGATATTTAATTCTCCCCTTTAGTAATGGAACTATTCTTGTAAATTATTTGTAAGAATTTGGAGGTAGATCAAGATAACTAACACCTGACAAGTTTGAGTTTTCTCATTTCCCTGATTACTGGTTAAAGTAATAGATAGTATTAGAGAGAAGTTACTCATTAATCACCTCTGGGAATTATAGATTTATTTGTTTTAGAAATGGTGGAAACATTTCTTATAAAGATCAAGAAATTTGACAAAATTTGTTAATAATCTAATTGTAGAGATGAAGCTCCCAAACCAACGACAGCTTTGGATTACACCTTTGGAAGAAGAGCTAAAACTGGACACAATATTGTAAGACTCTGTACACTTAGTTTCAAGACTGTGTGTTTAATATATTAAGATTAATGGATGATTGATGAGTGATTAATGGATTTGGTCTCTCTAGAGGCAAGACTGTTATTTTGATTACGTAAGAATTCCTCCGTACGGAGTTCAGTTATACCAAAAAAGGGATGGGCAAATTGTTTACAAACTGTTACAGTTTTCAGTAATGAAAAATTTAGTTTTTTTCTTGCTAGTCTAGTTTAACCATTTATTTAACCCCTCACCGGTAATAAGAAATATGTAACAAATACAAGAAGTACTTCCAGCAATGAGATGGTTGGAATGCAATGTAAAATACAAACAAGCCATGGAAATTCTGTCCTTCCACCAGCATTTAACAACCTGTACCTGAAAAAAACCTCTAAGTGTACAAAACTGACAAAGATATCAGATTTTCCAAATAAGAACATGATTGCAAATTGACCCACAAGATGATCTGACTTTACTTGTAGTACAACACTAAAAGTAGCATAAATCTCAAATTGGTGTCCCTAGTAAATGCAATGTGTTGTGTGGAGCAAATGAATTCAAACAGGTGAAACAGTATGATAAATGCTAATGCATAAGGAGCTGCTTGATTCCAAAGTCTTTTTACCAACATTAAGCAGACTGTACAGAAGTTTATAGTTTGCTTATAATTAGCTGTGTTGAGGCTGTAGATTATGAGACTACCACAAACCCTAGCCACCCTTCATTCATAACTTCCCTTACTCAGTGTTATAATATGTAATGAGTGGTGTGTAATACCACATTTTTATCAATCTGAACAGGGAAAAGACATAGGTCACATATGGGAACTTGGAGGTGGAACATTCCTTTCCAAATTAATTGAAATTCCTCTGACATCTGTAACTATAAGGTGAGAGCTAACTGTTATTCAAGCTTAACATTTGGACTCCTGAGAATGGCTAGCATCCTATTTCTCCTTACAATATCACCCCTGAGTCACACATCAAGGTCATGAGAATGAAGGAAATGATCACTAACAAGAAGCTCTTGCTTGTTAAACAAATTCTCCTTGTCAGCACTTAAAGAAATATGTAGAGAACAGTATGGAGAATATGCATACTGATGTTAGGGTGTAATGGTTTATGGCTGATTTACATGCCAGGATAATATGGTTTTTACTCATGATCATCACATGTCATTAGTTTCTTGTATGACAACCATTTACCAGCTTTGCTGAAGTATCTAAATAACACCGCCAACAACTCTGATAGTCATACAAAAAACAGGAAATGCTGCATAAAACACTTTTTAAAGTCTTGCAAAACTTTTTAGTAAAAAGATAAAAATGGGCACTGATGAATGGGCTGGGAAAGCTGACAAGATACAGAGGTTTGTAACCTGTAATGGACCAAGATTGCATGCAGGTGGAGTTCCAATGCTTCTACAGTAGATGCTTCTTGTCACAGAATCAGAGATAAGCTCTAAGCAGGTCAACTACTAGGTTTGATTGCTGACAGACTCTCCACCTACTTAATACAATTGTTCCTGATTCAAATATTGCTGAGGTACAGTATTGGGATACAGCTGCAGTGGTTCCATGTCACTCATCCAATTTTTACCATTTTCATGTACAGGAGTATGGCTGTTGCGATTGTCTTGGACTTGTCTCTTCCAAATGAACTGTGGAACACAATGGAAACACTTCTCTCCCAGGTAAAGAAAGGGTTTGATATTTGTAGAGAGGTGGAATTAACCTCTGTAAGAGAGAGACTGAAATTGCATAATTACCTTTTTTCTGATATGCAGCCAATAATTCCTATGCCATATACTTCAGCTGGTCTTATAAGTGTGCCATTAACAAACTTAACACATCTTTGTGACCAATATGTGTCCTTTGTAAGGTCATCTTTGTTATTAAGTTATCTGCAAGTGCTAAATCAAATACTAAAGTCTAATAGATATACCTTCTTGTATAAGGTATTTACACTCTTCTACTAAGTCTCCCCTTAGTATTCTCCATGGATGTAAATAAATGTGACCAAAAGTTACCCATGCTGAAGGAAACCTTAATTGTTACAAAAGTATAACAAGGAATTTGTTTTGATTCTTGAATTATTTGTTTAGTTCTGAGGTTCTTTTTGCAGGATTTATTTATTATATTATGGTGTGTGTCCTTAGGTCAAATCTAAAGTGAACAAAGCCCTGGAAGGTTTAGAGAGCAAAGAGCCTGGGTAAGGTACATTTTGCTATATGCTGAATGATATTTTGTGTATGCTCTATTACATGATATTACATATGGGCTGATGTTTCAATAAAAGCTGGTTGGCAGTCACCACTAAGACTTACAGCTGTCTGTTTAGCCTGCAAGCAGCCCTCCTATTTGGGTTTTGCCTTATGACCCTCTTCCATGCATGGAAGCCTTGTTACACCATCAGCATATGCTTATGGAAAAGTTATTGAAAACCCTGCTGCTGATATGGCTGCTATCTTGTTTAGTCTAATGAGGGAACACCTGCATCTACATGCTGATGTGGATGCAATAAAGTGTTTTCACCTGTTTGCTGCTCCTCTCAGAGAAGCAGTCCCTCTTTTCCAGCTTTGTACATGGATGTATTCAAAACAAATTTGGCTCATATGAAATGGGAGATGCAGTCTAGTTGTTAGGACTGAATCAAAGGTTCAAGTTGCGAGTGGGTGACTGTGTTTGGTTCTTGGGCAAGACACCTTATCCTTACAGTGTCTCTCTCCACCCAAGAGTAGGTATGGGCACTGGCAAACTGTCAGGGAGACATAGGGAAATATGGTGGGGAAGGGGGGGTAACCCCTTAATAGTCACTCCTAGTTGTTACATGGTGCTAATTCTTCCTTTTTGTCATGCCTATAAATTTTTCACCTGCCTTACTACTGCTCTCACTCTAACTCCTGGAGAGGATGCTGCATGCTGTAACCCTGTCCTCAGAGGTTTCACAGTTTTTTGACATCTCACTGTCAAGTATTTATACAGTGCAATGTCATTTATTCACTATGAGGAAAACAGGCTTGTCAGAGAACACACTTTGAATAACCTTCAGGGGATCTTTAAAATTAGAATCTGGTGTTAAACCATGAGAAACTGCTTGAAATGTTAATCAATCACGGTTTCTCGTCTTTCAAAGTTCTGTGCAACAGATTAAGAAGCAAGCTTGGAAGAAATTTGGAGAAGAACATCCTGTAAGTGAGGAGAAGTAACTTCTGTTCATTAACACCTTCTGAAAATTTAGCCCAAATTTTTTTACCTTGTTATGGCAATTAGTATTGATATTATTTGGAGTTTGTTAATTCCTGCAATGTGTTGGTGTAATGGTTTATTGTTACAATTTTCAGACATCACCTGCTAGCTTCTATGTCTTATGTCATATTCAATGACATTTAGTTGTTTTTATTGAATAACCAAACTATAATTTGGAGTGAAACTTTTGAATTTTGTAATAACATTAGATCATGTAGTCTGATTGTCCGACTGAAAGTAGTCCTGAGATGGACTGTTGTCAGTGGTGGTAGCTGGCGTTTCTTAAACCTTTGTGGAGGTCATTATTAGTGTTGCGTCTTGAATTTGGAAGCAAAACCAAGGCCTGTACGGTATTTGGACCCATGACCTCTGCGATGCCGGTGCTGTGCTCTACCGACTGAGCTAACAAGTTAACTGGAAGCAGGTCATTTTGTTGGTTCAAAATAAACCCGTGAAGTAATGAATAAATGACTGTTAATATATGATAATCAAATATGTGCATTGTGGTTTAAGAAATGAATTTGGATGCGATCTTCACAGTGATGAACACTACCCACGCAGTAGTGAAAAGTCACTTGATTCTGATTATGTAATCCTTCGATGTTATCGAACCGTCAGTTCCTACTGTCTTCTTAGGACCACTCTGACGCGGAAGATCAGACTACACGATAAATTTAATTCAATGAACTGATTTTTTGAAATCAGAAATGAATCCATTTTTCTGTAGGACAAATCTTCCATCGATCCGTTTCCTATACCTCTGGCCATAATTGGCGGAAAATACGATATTTATCAGGTTCGTAGTCAACCGACCTATCAGGATTTAAGGTTACTTCCCACCTTCAGATGCCGAAAAAATCGATTTTTCTTCTATTTGACTTAACTGAATTCAAACATTTAACCTAACGTCTCCATAAAAAAAAATTCTGAACTCTTTCACACCTTACCGGCACTTCCTTAAATTATATTTTATCGTAATCTGCAGTTATTAAGCTTTCTTCTGATGAATAGTTTGCTAGGATTTTAGTGAAACTAGCGCGCATACGAATTTTTTTTCCCGAAGGACACCCGCGGAGGTGGGAAGTAACCTTAAGGTAGTGAGAGGGGCAGGTTGTGTTCCATCATTGTGTTACTAGTATTGTCTCTTATTTCACTCCATGGGTAGTCTCATGCTATAGAGGGGGTGGGCGGGAGGGGAGTTGTGAAATTGGAAGTCACTGTACTCCATATGGATTATTGCTATATCTAGGAACATTCTACAACTTGTGATTCACTGCGATTCAGGTGTAAAAGGGGCCGAACGTGGACTGTTGGCAATAGACATGCCCCTGGTCGCATCTTTGCGATACTCATGGTGTTGTAGGCAAAATGGCAACTGTTAGAGATGTCCTAATACTTTGCGCTTCTGCATACAACAGGAAACGCTTGTTCTGTCAGAATGTATACCTTGTAGAGAGGAAATGAAGGTTAACTAAACACTATTATGTAAAGTTTTATTTCGGTATTTTTCGTGAAGTAGGCCCCTTTCACACGATGCGGGATAAAATCGAAAACGGTATTTTTGCTCTGGAAAGGCAATAAAAGGTTTCCTTGCACACTAGAAAACGGATTAAATTCTTCTACACACAGTATAAACATCACCGGTAGCAGAATAACTGTCTCGTCATCCGGTTAAAAGAACTCGAAGGGCTTTTTGGAGACACTCCAATTTGGGTTGAAATTGTATTGGTACTCCCAAGGGAGTCCTTTGTAGCTATCAGTGAATGGTTCGTCAATTTTGTTTTCGCAGGATTTTGATCCCGAGAAACGGAAAATGATAAGTAGAGCACTGCGATTTGTGGCACACAAGAACGGCGCTCATTTGCAGGTTGGTTGAATTGATACTGATTTTTTTTTGTTTCGTTTAACAAGAAGAACTCAGCTTAAGCTATCCTTAATTTCAGTCAACGCTTCACTTGGGTCCATCAAGATGCACTGGAGAATGAGATACTTTGTATGTTATAATGATGCCTTGAGACCGATAGAGGAGTTCGTTTTCCTTTTAGATCGGGTGGCGACCGAGAAGCTGCCCCTCCCACTAGGCGAAGTCCGTCGCGCTAGTTCAAAAGAAACCAGCGAGAAAAAAATTGATGTAAGCACGCCGCGCAGAACTCTGGGAGTGAGGCGCACGAAAAGTAGAGTTCCACGCGGCGCGCTGATATAATTTTTGTTATTCGCTGATTTTTATTGACTCGCGCGATGGACTTCACCGAAAAAGCGAACCTACAGTTAACGTGTACAAATGATTACGCTCCTGTGATTTCAATTGTCTGGTTTGGATTCCAAAGAAGCCTTCATTTTCCTCATCAGTTTTTTAGCACTAAAGCTGAGGGTCTGACGAACCGCACCCGAGGTCTGGTGGGGTCACTGTTGTTCCGCACCCCCCTCAGGTGAGTTTTCCTCCATGCCGTAGTGACTTCATGGCACTTAAATAGTATGCTTCGCATCAAACCAAAACATTTTGAAGAAAAACTATGCCTTTGAGTATAGGAAACTGAACCAAAAATTGACTTAAAAGGGGAACTCTCCATATCTGTAATATCTCGATAGATACTCGGCTTTTTACACGTGGAGGAAGTATGTGCCTTATCTTTTTATTCGAGACCTCTCTGTAGGAATGGAATAGCGGCAATGGAATGTTTAAGGTTCTTCCCATTGAAGTCTCCAAGACTTAAATTTATCTCACTAGTGACAAATGAGACCAAAATTAGTCCTCATGGTCCATCGCTAAACTAGCTGGGGACTGCTACCAAAAGCCAACAAATTGATGTGGGTTGTAATAGATTGGGGAATTAATTCTACGAGCATCCAAGGCTAATTAAGATAAAAAAAATTGACTAAATTGGAAAGTTAATTGCAGTTTTATCATTTTTAGAAATCGCTCAGGTAAGAGAGGCTGTGCCATCAACCTTTTAAAACTCTTTTCACTGCGGATTTTGAAATGGACACGACCCCTGTGACGCTTAAATTTTAAATGGTTTTAAACGTTCGTTGAAATTATCCTATTTTGTAAAATATAGGAAGTTTTGTGACCTTATTATTCTTTTACAGTAAGGTGGTATCAGTGGATCATAACAAACCCATCATTGTTCCGGCTGGACAGGACTCTTTTTCGCAAATAGGTGAAAAATGTTGTTTATTTTTTACCTTCTGGTCGCTTCATTATTGTCGTTAGTGTCATTATTTTGTTTTGTCTCTTAAATTGCACGATGTTGCACGAAAAAAAAGAGAACTTTAAAGCGATTTTGTGTACCAGCGGGTACATCCATATAAGATGTTTTTCTTTGCATTTAGGATCACCTCCAGTTGCAAATCAAGACATGGGAAAAATGCACAGCAGGTAAATACCATGATTTGTCATCCTTAGATTTCTTCCGTGTTGATCAGATATTCGCACACTTTGCTTATCTTAGTGTAATGATGTGAATTATTCAAGAATTAAATCAGTTACAAAACGTCGATTTGATACATTTTTAGTCGATCAGCTAGTATGTAGACCAAGTTATCCAACCTGTTTTAGATTGTGCAATGCGTGGAAAACATTGAGATATAAAACGAAAGTCGACAAAATTAAATGGTTTTTCAAGGAGGAACTACATAAGCCAGCAGTTTGTAACAAGTGCTGCAATCTTAGCGTCAAAACAATCCTTGGTTGAAATGGTCACATAAGTATCATAGATTAATCATCTCTTGACTAACCTGGCGAAAATTTTCTCAGGTTAGTCTTTTATCTGATTGGTTGAACACGGAATGGACGAGTTTCACAAAAGAAATTCCAAATAGAGAGCCAGTCAACCCAGCAAATCCTTTTTTGAATTTCCAGCATTTGTATACATCCAAGTTTAGTTTACGCTTTTAGTGCTCTTGGTAATTTTATTGTGATAAAAAAATAAATTAATAAATGGGCGTCAAAAAAAGCCACAGGAATTTTCCTGTCTGGTGAAACTTGTATCTGATTGCTCGGTAAGAGTCATCTTTCGGATTTATGAATACTTTTTGAGTTGTTTGCTTTGTATTTTAGGGATCCGTACGAGCTTTGGAAGGCTGCCTACGCCACGTTTTTTCCTCCCGAGGTAAAACATTTGTTGTTTAAAACTGAAATCTATTGCGATTTGCTTTTGAGTACAGCGCTTGATAAAACGTCTTTATATAAGTTTGCTCAGGGCTATGATTAACATTCTGTCTGACTTAAGAAATCCCAAGGGCGGAACACAAGCGAAGACCCATCTAAAGATCCGCAGTATGCTGAACCAGCGGTCGACACCATGAGGAAACAGAAAGATGAGGTAAATTAATGCAGATTTCCATTAATCAAAACTGGACGGTTGGATCCGGCGTCTTTCTCTGAGAACTTACAGAGATGTTCTGGTCAAACTGGCCTTGTCCTCCGTGAGTAAGGCCTCTAAGTTTCGCATTCCTGTGCAGAGTAATCTTAAATGTTGTCGGGAAATTTACTGGACCATTAAGTGGTTAATAATGTTGAAAATGTTGCCAAACAACACCCACACGTTCTCACTCACCGGCAAGAACCAATTAACCAGTTTCGCCAGACCTTTACCCTTTGACCCCTAAGAGTGACCAGCATCTAATTTCTCCTCACATTATCATTCGTGAATTACTCATTAAAGTCACGAGATTAAAGGAAATGATCATCAACTCAAGAAGCTCTTTATTTTTAAACGAACTTTCCTTTTCAGCACCTCAGGAAAATGTAAGGAGAGCAATGTGGACAAAATACATACTGATGTTAGGGTGTAATAGGCTAAAAGTAAAAAGCACCCATCAAATTTACCTTGACCTTGTCTCGGTTGTAAAGTACGTTTCAAACCAGTTGTTTATTTATTTACTTTTAATTTGTGCAGGAACTAGAAAGATACCGGAAGTTGGCCTTGAGAAAAGTGAGAGATGCTGCCAGAGGGACTGGAGGAGAGAAACACTCACGCTAGCTAAACAACAACAGCAACAACAATGAAGAAAGCTTAAACAATGGAGCAAATTCCTATTAGAGCGCTTTTCGACTCTAAAACCAAAGTGATTACAACGGCCAATCAGAAGAAAGGAAAATACAATAAGAGCCAATGAGGACTCACAGTATAAACGACCAAATCGCCTAAGGCGCGGGAAAATGCGGGCGACAACGTCTTGATTCGTTTTTGTTTTCCATTTGATTAGCTAAGTGGGTGGCGCAATTTTTCTGGACCAATCACAGAGCGAAGTAAAGCAAAACCAATGTAATCTGAGATTACTTTCGAAACTTGCTTTCGAAATTGCACTAATAGTCTCACTTTCGACACTCAGTCGACGAATGCTTTAAATGTCAAACGCGATCCATGATTTCTTGGATTTTACTTTTCTTCGATCTGGGGTTTCTTTAGGAAACTTGCGCTATCTTTTCAGCATATCAAAACCCATCACAACTGGGGATTTAGGCAAGTTTGGTTGTTATTAGTTTGAGTTCTGGCCCTTTGTGGCATTTCATTTTATTCTGTTGGGCCGTTGTGATTACTTGGGTTTTGCTTCCACGACACTGATCCGAACTCCCTAATGTCGACGACCACTCCGTATTTACAAAACATTTATTGGAAAAATTTTAAGAGCGTTGTAAACAAGGAAATAACTGTAAATTAATGCTGCTTGTATAAAACAGTGCTACCCAGGAATTTGATTCGTTCTCTTCTCTGGAAATTTTATTTCACATATTAGCAGCTTATCACGTGTCGTGAACTCATTGAATATGACAAACTCTTTCTTGTGACACTTCGTCTGGTGTGACATGAAATACGAGAAATGAAAGGCAAAAGGAAGAGGAAATCAAAACTAGAGAAGGTCGAACCCGACGTCACACTTTCTGACTGACGTTCGATTTATGTGGGTTTGTCAAAGACAAGAAAACCAGGGATGAGCACATCGAACCGAGGCTAATTGGGGACATTCTTCTATCTTTGTTTTACTTCCACCAGAAAAGCTTTTAAAGTTGTTTTCCGCCCGTTTTTTTTAACAGGAGATATAAAGTAATCGACTGTGGTGAGACGTCAAATTAAGGTTAGCCTAGCACCCAGACGGACGTCTCCGCTGAAAATCAGTTGGCGCCTAGGGAGGGAAGTGGTTACATGTAAGGCACAATGTTCCTTCCGCTTCTTCCCCCTCCCCCCACTTCTTTTTTTTTCTTTCCGTGGACGCTCGCGCTTCGTGCTCGTTTTCCAGAGAGTCTACCAAACTATAGAGAACGAGATTAAGTCAAGGGCACGCTTTAGTCACTGTAAAGCTCTAAGTGGTGGCAGCTGAGATAGTTTTGATAAAGTCGTACCTCTGTTACCGCATTGTATACTGGCGTGAACTCGTCTTTACAAACTGTTTCAGATTTTCAAAAAGTAATGTAGCTACACATTGCACACATTGTCTAGAGTAGGTGAAATGTCTTTTTTCCACCCTCGTTATCGTTTTCAGAGGATTTGGCCACTTTGGTTTATTTCATACTGTTTGGATCAGATTTTTCTTTCATCTGTATTAGCTCGGCTTAGTCATCGCTGCGGGATTGACTTGGCCACGCCCACCGGATGGGAGTCTCAGGGATATCCTTTATGGGGATCGACCCTTTGCAAGACTCTGTCGACCGGTCTTTAGGCCAAATGCACTACAAGAATGTTTGCAGGCGTGATAATACTCTGAGCATCAGTAATATGAGGGTTGGGAAGAGACAACGGTGGGCTGAGGTGGGTTGCTAAGTGTACTCAAGCATAAGAGGCAACGGAGGCTGGGAAGAGAGAGAAACTTTAGAACCTGGTTGAAGAGAAGATAATCACACGGAGTCAACCTCCCCACCAACCACATCAAGGTCCATATCTGCATTCACTGTCATAGAGAAAAAGTAAAATTCTAACCGCCCGGTAAAATACATATACAAAGCAACAATAATTGCTACTATGGAGAGCTAACAATCTTAGAAACAGCTGTTTTCTTCCGTGGTCTGGTCCCATTAACCACTTCTCTTGAAAACAAAGCCTAAAGCGTTATTGTCTCAAGTAAGATTTTTATTTAATGGTATGTGTTGTGTTCAGAATGGCCAAAAATATATGTTAGTCTCGCACCTACTTGACTGCTTTTACGGTGAAGTTCTGCCTCTGTTTTTCCTTGCCTGAAGGCTTTAGTGGCATGACTTTGTCGCCTTGAGTGTCAAACATGTAACACGAATTAAAGTTTTCATTTTCCGACCGCGCTGCAGACTTCCCAGATCACTGATCATTTTCGGTAAGATTTCCGCGATATTACCTCTTTACATTAACGACTTGGGATATTTTTTTATCACTTTGTATTACATTGTTAACTACATAAATCGTAAACTTTGTTAAAAGTTCCAGGTTTTTAATTTCCAATCCCACGAAATCAGGCCAACTGATCGAAATATTATTCTTTTCACATGGTCAGGACATCATATTTGCCTATCATTTACAGCAAAAAATAACTTTTCTCCTTATCCTGAAAAATTTTACAAAATCTGTTTCCCTCGGTCGCGAAAACGACAAATTTCGATCGATGTTTTAAATTGAAAGTGTCCAGAAGAGACTGCGTGAAGCGCCGTTGCTAATAACAACTTGTTTAGTTCATTCAATCACGCAAGTTGGACGTCAGTTCGTTAGAATAATCTGCCTGCAGGATCAAGTAGACATTTACAGTGAAATAAATGTTTGTTTTGTATGGTTGAATTTTTTCATTAGTATTGGTTAAAAGACCGCCCAGTGCGATTTAATGAAACGGATACCTTCAATAATTTAGTATTTACAATTAAGCGCAAATACTTAACTAACAACGTTGTTTTAAATAAAACAATCTCCACGTGTAATTTACGTCTTAGAGCTGATAACGTCAAGAAAGAACTTACTTTACGGGAAGTTTGTTTAGAAGATAAAGGCTCACTAATCTGTATTCATTTCAAGGAAGAAAGGTTCTCGAATAACCCATTTTACGATAGTTAAATCAAATCTAATCTAAAAGGCTATGGACGTTTACTTTTTCTAGCCCTCTTCAGAGTGCCATAAAATCTGTTTGACTTCTTTCTTGACGCTGGAATTGGAGAAGTTACAAAAACATTGCGACACCTCACATAAAGCATTCAGACGATCACAAAGGAAACCCAATCGAGGGATCAGCGTTTCCATGGTAACACCCAGGACTTTCGTAGCCTTTGTTCACCGTCACAACAGAACTACCGCTCGCTCATGACGACTACTCTATCCTCTCTCGCAATGGCGGTGAACAGCATGTTACAGCCATGACGGTTTCTAACACTATGGCCGATTCTTCCTCTAGGGAGCCTAATGAGGAAGGAGAACGGAAACAATCAATATCACACCATCGGGAAAAGAGTCTAACTCCTTACGAACGACTGACACACGATTTAGCTCACGACGAACGCTATCTGAAAGAAATAACTCTCGGCAAACGAATTGGATTTTATCGCATTCGAGGAGAGTTAGGAAGCGGAAACTTCTGTCAGGTCAAAATGGGAATACATTCACTCACAAGAGGTTAGTTTAGGCGATCAAAATATCTTTGAATGTAATTTCGCTCGCGTGCGATGCGGAACTCACTTAGACACTTTTCTTGCAGACAAGGTTGCTATCAAGATTTTAGACAAGACAAAGTTGGATCAGAAAACTCAACGATTGTTATCAAGAGAAATTTCTTCTATGGAAAAGCTTCATCATCCCAATATTATCAGACTTTACGAAGTAATCGAAACGCTCTCGAAGCTATACCTTGTGATGGAATACGCTGCTGGTGGCGAATTGTTCGCTCGAATTTCGAATGAGGGTAAACTACATGAACGAACAGCTCGCCGAATATATGCTCAAGTGACATCCGCTGTTGAACATATGGTGAGTCGGCAATTTGTATTCATTTCTTTAATTATGAACAGCTTTTGATGAAACAACCTTAATAGCGACAACAAACCGCCCGACTACTCGAAAATCGCTTCCTGCTGAAAAGGTATTTGCCATCGAAAACCCGAGGTAAGCTTACACGGTTCGTCTAATTGAATTATGTAAGAAAACTGATCGTTCCTGCTCGTGGTGATTCGAGCAGTGTTATGATAAACATAATAGTGTTGAATAATTAACGTTAAGTTTAGTTGCAATGTTGCCAATGATGTTCTTGAAATATTTTTCTTTTCCTATTTTTTGTAGCATGATAATAACATCATTCATCGCGATCTCAAAGCAGAGAACGTGTTCATTGCTGGTCCGAATCTTGTAAAAGTTGGCGATTTTGGGTTTAGTACTTTGTCGACAAAGGATAGCACACTGAATACCTTCTGCGGCTCGCCACCCTATGCTGCTCCAGAGTTGTTCAAGGATGAACATTACATCGGTGTTTATGTCGACCTGTGGGCTTTAGGAATACTTCTATATTTCATGGTAACTGGTGTTATGCCATTTCGAGCGGAGACTGTCGGAAAGCTGAAGAAATGTATTTTGGATGGAACTTATTATTTGCCGGAGTTTTTGTCCGATCGCTGTAAATTTCTCATAAGGAACATTTTAAGACCTGTTCCCACAGACAGATTTACTATGGAAGAGATAAAGCATTCCGCTTGGCTAGAAGGAGAATCTTTTCCACGGCCGGACACCAAATATAGTCTGCGACCTCCAGAGGACAAGTTAAGTGAGTTATCTGAGGATGAAAGGGACGCACTGAACACGATGAAAGAACTTGGTATTTCTTCTGATCTATATGCAAACTGCAGAGATTCAAGAGACAGTATAACAGGGACCTATAGAGTGATACTGCATCGAATTGCGAAAAAAAAAATAGAGCTTATGCGAAAAACGTCAACTTTGAGTAGTTATAGTAACAACAATCACCTCATGACAGACTCTCGACCACAGAAGGCTGAAAACAACGAGAGAAATGCGAAAGCACAACCTAAATCCAAATTTTGTACAATCCTGTAGTGATCCTAGACACAAAATTGTACTACAGGCGCGAACTTAGCTTATAATTATCGAGGTACTGAAATCTTGAATTCTTAATTTTTAATTTTGAAATTTAAACCTATTACTATTGTTGCGCTGAGCAGATTTGAACGGATTTCATCTTTGATATTCCATTGTGTGTTTCATGCAGGTTCGTGAATTATCATTGTTTATCACAGATTTACTCTTGAGTGGTGTTTGCATACAGTTTTCACACATTTTTACTCAAACATTTGTACATAAACATATCATTTGTGAGGCTCTCTTGAAAGAAATCGAGACATGCAAACACTACATACATAAATCATTTGTTTGGTTACGTTTCTAAGTTGTGGCAGGAGACCATCAGTTGTAATATATTATCATGAGTGTGAGGGATATAAAAATTTTCTTTGCAAAATGCTTTAACTGACATAAAAAGAACCAATCATTGGAAATTATCATAAACTCAATTGAATGAGCAAAAACTTACTGGATCAATTTGTGAGGTATTAAATTAAAACCTCAAAGGACTGAGTTGTGAATATTTAATTTAGATTTTCTCATCTTGTATTGTTCTTCCATTAGTTAACAGTCTCATGCAGTCGTATTCAAGTTGCATAATCTTTCTCAATATTATTGCCTTGTATTGTAACCAATCAGATGGTTATAAGCTCATAGACTGTGTTAATTATTTATTTGTCGTTACACACACTAATAATTGTAAATTTTTAACCATGTTGACAACAAATGCCCTGTCTATTCTCACGATCACATTCAATGATAACATATGTTCAAGAAACTTGAACATGACATTTTTCAGACATGCTCAAATATAATTTATGTCCCCAAAGGCAAGTAATCAAATTGCCATTTAATATTGACTTCCGCAAAGTCCAATATACTAATAATTTAAACATGACATTGGCAGTTTTGCGTAGATGTAAAATAACTGTAGATTATTCAACACCTTTTGTATATAAGACAGAGTGATCTTTGCAGAAAAAAAGTGCCCCAAAATTTGTAGATATTAAATTTTTCCAAAAGTTGGAGCATATTTTTGCAAAGTAAGTTTCATTTATTCTATTTAAGTCCAGCATCCTTCTGGTATGAAAAGGACAATAAAGTATATTTTTTCATGGAAGGCTTGATGCTTATGATTTTGTTTTATGCACACAACATAAAGAAATTTTTGACTTAAATAAAACTAAAGTGATCCCAAATGGTTATTTGAGCAAAGACCAGCAGTACAGGGAACAATGCAAACTCATAGTAAATTGATGAATTGTGCCTTAGTGCAGGAAAGCACATCTGTGACGTAAGTTCTTCAGACAAATTACAAGAGAAATGAAGCAAATCCAATAGCATTCCATATTACTCTCAACACTTGACTGAAAATTGGTCTATATTATTGCCTTGTCATGTTCCTGTTGTCCACCTTTCAAGTGGACTTCACTATATGATCCCAATAGAATATAGATTGCATATACAAGACTCAAGTTCAGCCAAGTGAGATGCATTTAATTTGAGGCATATTAATGTCACAGTGAAAATTATGACATGATTGATAGCTTTTGTAGATATTAAGTAAAACCCTTAACCTTATGATAACATCCAGGCTTAATTGAATTTCCAAACACCTTGTATAAAAAGTCAACAAATTAATGTGAATTCATCATTGGAGGTGTTTATCAAGAAAATAGAGTGCCTTTTCATCCTTGCTCTTGCTGGAGTTATGATTTTGTGTCTTTTGGCTGGACATTATACTCTCATTCTGCAAAGCACATGACTAAAAAATAGTTTAGGTTTGAACTCCGGCAAAGTGGCCCATACACCTGCAGCTTATCCCAGTTTCCGCATGAAGGGACCAGGAGAGTTACCACTCCCCCCTGATCAGATACCTGTCCATAAGAGGGTTTCCACCCCCAGCATTTTATCAAGCTTCCCTGACAGTCTACTGGTGCCCATTTGCACCCCTGGGCGGAGAGAGCTAGGGGTCTGTCAGAGTAAAGTGTTGAGTCCAAGAACAAAACACAATGACCACTGACTATTACGCCATTGCATGCTGGCCATACATCAATCGGTACCACCAAACTGCCTGGAAAACCTGGCTCGCATCTGGTCCGGAGGAAGTAGTAGTACCACCTAGTGGGAGATAGAAATGATAATAGGCTGTGGTGGTATGGGCCAGAGAAGGCTTGTCTTTTGCAGGAGGGGGACACTCCCTTATCTAGTATGTGTTGTGTAATAAGATACGATTCTTCATGGTCTTAAAATTCAAAAAGGGAATACAACTTCCCAATCCGGAATCTAGTACATCAGTTATCATCTCTTCAAATATCGTGGAGTATTAGCACTGGTTGACCTGTGATAAGAAGTGCTTATTCATCTTTGTGAAGACTTCATTGGCGTTGAGGACATGGAAAAACAACAGCATTTAGACTGACTCAGACACTTTTTACATTTGCCTTTCATTCCTGCTTCTGAGGTTTTGGGGGGTTTTTCACTATCAGCCTACAGCTACTGGACAAAGACAACATGAAAGCTAATGTCATTGGAATCTGTAAAATCAGAAGTTTTACCAGATTGCTGTGCTGATCATGTTGTTTGGGTTCAAGTATTTCCTCTAGTGAACATAGTTCATTGGGAGGAAAGACGGTTTTTAGCTAAAACCGTGGCCCCCAAATATTTTTCTCACCTTGCCCAAAAAAATGTTCAAATTTTTCCCTGTTCCTGTTCGTATGTCCGGCCAAGCCTTTATCGTCTTAGGCCCCCTTATAGCCGCTAACAATGGCTTATAAATACTGGCGTTTAGTGTTAACTTGTAAAACTCCCTGAAGAAGTCTACGACAGTTGACGATAAGCGTCGTCAGAGAATAAAGAAGTGTTACAGCTACTGTTCGCAGAGTGCCTCTCACTAGTTTAGTTTAAAAAAATTTAAAAAATATTTTAAAAATAAGCAAAAAACTTAAAAAAAAAAAAAGGAAAAGGAAAGGAAAAAATTACTGCTCAATTAAAGACTTGGATATCAAGACAAAAAGAACAAAAAGGTCCGCAATGCGTACACATATGGGTTTCGAATCGTGAAGTTTGCATGCATGGATTAAATGTCACATGTTTTCACAAAAGCATTAATTTCAAGAAACAATTTCATCTGTTATTTTGGATTTGATTACTGACGGTTGGCTGTTCTTCCAATGCTAGTTTGTTTCCGTCTTTTCCACGTTTGTTTGACATCGACTGAATCGCTTGGCCTGATATTTCAGTCCTTACCAATTTATCTCCTAGGAAATTTAAGCCTTAATCAAAGTGTTCCCTTCTGGGAAAGGCCATATTCGAGACTACGCATAGGGTAAAATGTACTTTCTCTGCTCGACCTCCCTACGCCTACCCCCTCACTACCTCTCCTCCCCGCCCCCTTAACCCGACGAAATGTTAATCGAACTTGACAAGGAAATCAAGGAAAACCAGAAGAAACAATCGAAAAATCACTGGAGAGAGAAGAGCACTGCAGGGAGTAGACCTTATGGCTGTATTTGAATGGCTTAAAAGATTGCATGACAATTCACTTTCTTTTAAGAAGGGATTTTGGCATGGTTTTCCTTTTTTTTAGTGATTGTTACTATAGTTACGTGAAAAGTACAATAGAAGGGTGAACACGTCAATCAACTTACTTTGTTTTTGTTCTTTTTGGCTTTGTTTGTTTGGTTGCCTTTGTTTTCTTGGTGGTCAACCTTGACTATGCTGGCTTTTCGGTGATGTGCAATTTTTTTCAGGATACAGTTAATTAAAAAGAAAAGCAAATGTAATAGAATGTACCCATTACAGGGGTGGATCCAGGATTTTGAGTGAGTAGTTTCCACCCGAGGACCCACTCCTGCTAGGGGGGTTCGGGGGCATGCCCCCCCGAGAAAATTTTAAATTTGGAGCTCTCTAAAGGCCATTTCATGCATTTTTAGAAAATTTAATTGCCCCCAAAAGACTAAAAAAGCATGTAATCAAAAAGGCAAAAAACATTTATTTTTCTTGAAAGTACTACAGGAAACACTTTGATCTACAAATATTCCACCTTTAGCTACTGTGCAAACCAGTGTATATAGTGTTTTCAGGAAGGCCAAGTCATCACCAAGACTTTTCACACTGGAAAACATCACCTCCCAGTCAGGAAAATCAAGATGTGGAGAAAAAAAAAACGAACCAAGTGTTAGTGTTTTTGATAACAAAAGAAAAACAAGCACAATTGATGATATAGTTTAAACATTGATAATAAAAATCTACTTGCCTTTTTCATCCTTGGGACCACAGGCTTACCATCCATAAAGCCCTTCTCTCTCTCAAATTTCTTCTGTGTTGTGCTCCTATAATGAATGAAATGAATGAAAGCCAGGCTCAATAAATCCAAATGTTTAGCAACACTAAAAACAACATTTCCTGAGCTGGCTTTTATTCATTTCATTTATAGGAGCACAACACAGAAAAGAATTTGAGAGAGAGAGAAGGGCTTTATGGATGGTTAGCCTGTGTTGGGAGCTGGAATTCAAAAAATAAAACAATTATTAGAAAAATATAAATTATAAGAATCATAAAATGATATACAAATTGAAGTAAAATGATAATTTGAAATAATACTAGCCTTTCTTCATCCTTGGGAATTGCTGTGAAGCTGGTTGAGTTCAGTGAAAATGTTTGTTAACCATTTAAGCTTAACATGAAAACCCAATGTCAATGTCAATGGAAAATCATCACAAGTAAAACAAAATAGAAAATCACCTTGAAATGAGTTGAAAAAAGTTATACAGGCACCAGTTTGAGCTTCTGTACTGTTCTCCATCAGTTTAAGGATTATGAGACTTAAAGGCCATAACCCAGACAGAACATAACTCACAAGTACTCTAGAAACAGCTGGTGCAAAAAATTATTACAAAATGTTTGCCATTCTCATTCTCCTAGGATGTAACTCAGCAAATAAATCTATTATACGTTCAAGGTCAAAATCCATGTCTCTGTGGGCATGCATCAGTGCCAATCCATTCAGTCTGTCCTGTCAATCAATTAAAACAGTATGGTTTGCCCGAGGCAATAGTTCTCTGATCTTGGCTATTAAATGTTGTTGACGCTTGGGAGAGTTGTTAAAAAAATTAGAAATCTTGCGCACAATATCCATCATGTTCCTGACAATTGGCAATTGGCAAGTGTCTGCTATGCACAAATTAAGCCTGTGGTTCATGCAGTGGACATAGATTGCCTTTTCGTGTTCTGCACTGATCAATGAGGAGGCTCCATTTAGTCTTCCAGCCATATTGCCTGCACCATCATAACACTGCCCACGACAGTCTTCCATTGTCAATCCTAAGTTTGCTACAGCTGCAGTTATAATGTCCTTGATAGCCTCCCCTGTTAATCCCTCCTCACAAATGTAATACCCAATAAATTCTTCTCGGATGGTTTTAGTTGTATCCAGAAATCTTATTACTACAGAAACATTCTCCTTATTTGAAATGTCAGCAGCTTCATCTGCCATAACTGAAAAATACTTACTATTTCTTATTTCCTGTGATAGATCATTCAAAATGTGAGCACCAACAGTTTCTATCATTTCATTCTGAATGGTCTTTGAAATGTATGTGGCATTTCTGGGTGCATTGTCCAGGTGTTGCTGCAGTGTTTGGTCACCACTGTCTACCCGGAATTCTAGCAATGCCTGGAAATTACCGGTTAGGGCAGCATTAGTGGGATCATCATCTCTCCGCCCCCTGAGTGGGATGTTGTTTTTCCCACAGAAAATAATAGTTTTGAAAAGGGACTTTAGAATCTCCCGATTTCTCGCGATTTGCTGTTGAACTATGTTATTTAACTGCTGGTCAATTGGGACAGCTCCTCTTTGCATCATTCTCTTGAAATCATTCATAGCAGTCATAGAAAAATTGTGAATTTCACAATTTCCTAGCGAGTGTTTGGTTAAGCGAGAAGCGGCCGAAGTCCAATTTGTGAGAGGAGACTTCAATAATTTGTCTAACTTATTAGCGTTTCGCCCACACTGAACTCCAAAACAAACACAAGCTAAACAAAATGCTCCATCGAAATATTTGGAGTAAGCTAGCCATGGAAATCTTTTCAGCCAGCCCGAGACAAACTTACG